CCAGGAACAAGTCCCCAAAGCCAGGGTCCTGTGACCCCAGGAACAAGTCCCCAAAGCCAGGGTCCTGTGACCCCAGGAACAAGTCCCCAAAGCCAGGGTCCTGTGACCCTACGAACAAGTCCCCAAAGCCAGGGTCATGTGACCCTACGAACAAGTCCCCAAAGCCAGGGTCCTGTGACCCCAGGAACAAGTCCCCAAAGCCAGGGTCCTGTGACCCTACGAACAAGTCCCTGAAAGCCAGGGTCCTGTGACCTCCAGGGAAACTGGGAAGATCTTAGTACGTGGCTTTATTGTTTTTAAATAAAAGTTGTCTAATAATTTTATTTTTGTTTATATTTTTAATATGTAATGCACACACGATTCAGGATTTTTCCAGTATTACCAGCCACCAATTCCTACTCTCTTTTAGACCCCGACAGACAAGCTGTCCACTGAGAAGACAGCATGTGCACGCATTACATGAAATATACATACCAATGTGTTCTGAATCCTCAGCGAGGCCTTGAGGGTGTTGGAGCCTTTGCTGTCCACATGTGGCTACATCCCACAGTTCTTCCCATGGTTAAGCAGCAGTTCCTTCCTTTCAGTGCTGCAGGGAAAGGATTTCACATAGGTCACTCCTCCTCACACTGTGTCTGTAGGAAGAACCACAGGCCTTGTGGAAACACTGGTCCATGCATGCCCAGATGTGTGTCTTGTGGACATCCATTCTCTGCTTCTCTTAGGGGTACCTATAAGGTGTTTTGTTTGACTGGGGGTCAAACATTTATATGTGTACATGTATGTAGGTACACTTACCTGTACATGTTATGTGCAGGTTACAGCTGCTTGTGCACATATGTCTGGAGACCAGAGGTTAACATCAGGTGTTGCCTTATAAAATTACATACCTTTAAAAAATTTTATTTTATGTGTATATATGTGTATGTGAATGTACACATGTGTGCAGGTGACCATAGAGGTCAAAAAGGGGTGTTGGATTCTCTGGAGCTGGAATTATAGGTGGTTGTGAGCTGCCAAATGTGGGTGGGAGGAACCGAACTCAGATCCTCTGCAAGAACAGCGCGTGTTATTAACAGCTGAGCAGCTGCTCAGCCTAACCACATTATTGTTTGGAGAGTTTCACTGAGGTTAGCTAACCAGCAAATTTCAGGGATCTTAATGTCTCCGTTCTCTCCCGCACTGGGAATACAGACATGCTCTGCCATGACAGCTTTTCCACGGTTTCTAGAAGATCTGACGCAGGTCCTCACGTCTGCTAGGCTCGCTATCCACTGAACTATCTTCTCGGCCCATACCTGTAACCTTTTCACCGAGGCTGATTCTTGTTTGACACAACAAAAGCCCCAGAGCAGGAGTAAGGCCTGAGTCCCAGCATTCAGAACTGTGCTGTGTCCTCGGAAAAGTTGTCTGAGGGAAAAGTTTTTCCTTCTGGGGAACAGGAAATTGCCCTCACTGGCACTCGTCCCCCTGGGTATCAGAGAGCTTTTTGGCACCTAAAGGCTGAGAATCTGCATCTGCAGATCTCAACTGCTGAGATTTGTCCCAATGGCTCTCTCTCGAACTAACAAAACAGCCCGGGCAGGCTCGCTCCGCAGGGTTCTACAGCCCGGGCAGGCTCGCTCTGCAGGGTTCTACACCCTGCTTTCAAGTCAAGTACACTAGCGAGAGACTTATGTTTCTATTCTCGTAGCATCAGAACTAGGACCATGTGCATGAATTATGTAAAACTAAGGCTGCTCATCATCTGAAGTGGAAGGGAGCGAAGCCTCTGCAGAGTCCCGGCCCAGGGACCACAGGGTCTGTATTTACTCTCCTGGTCTATGCGAAAGAGGGACCTGAAAAGCACAAGCTTTCTCCAGGGCCCCCGGGCGTGAGAAGACATACCCACAGAGAACAGACCGTGTACTTTGAGCAAGCCGCTTCGCCTCTTTGTGCTTTTGTCTTCAACCACGAGAACCTGGGAGGTGATGAATTCCCGCGCTCCAGGTTATGAGGAGGCCTTCAAGGTTCTGTTATCCCACAGGCTCCTGGTACCTAGACTAGAAGGCGTGCTCCATATAGGATGCTGCCTTGGCTTTACAGCGCAGGAGCCCTGCTTGGCGTTATCTAAGGAACACAGCCAGCTTCCCTCCCTCTCCTCCACTCTGCTGGCTTTTGTTTTACTTTGTGGCATTGGCATTTCTCTATTAGGTGGTGCTAGGTGCCACCTGTGTTCGCATCTTCCCAGTCTGCTCCACAGGGAGCAGCGGCTGGTGACGTCGCAGGGGCTGTCACCTTCCAGAACTGCTGCTCCAGCTGTACAGGGCCTGCTGGTAGAGCTTGGGGGCTGTCAGCCTATCCCACATTCTTTGTTCTCCTCATAGGGCTGATCAGGTGATCAGGCACGGGTCCCACCATGGGACAGAGGCTTCGAAGGCAACTACCCGGGAAATAGGTACCACTGACCTCAGTTCAGAGATGGCAGGGTCTTGGAGGAGAGAGGGGAGAGAAGGGGGGAGAGGAAACTGGCAGGAAAGTTCTAGAAACTTGCAGGTGAGACATTGGAACTGCCAGCCAGGATTGGATTTGTCCATCTTTTGCCTCTGCCCCACGGCTGGGCTCATGTTGAGAGATCTTGCTCAGGACTGAGTATGTGAGGAGACAGAGCCAACTAAAATAATGTGTGAAGATGTGCCTCACCGGGCCGCAGCAACAGGGTTCAGCTGGCCCACCCGACAGATGCAGGGGAGGGACCCTGGGGACACGTGAGCGACAGCTTGTAAGCCAGGTTCTCTCCTCCCGGAAGGAAAGCCTGGGAAGGGATGCTTGTGGGGTTTCGTGCCGGCTCTGCTACCCAACCTCTACACTCCCGTCCCAGTTGTGAGAAAGGAGCAGTCCTAGGCCTGGCAGCCATCCCGGTGCCACAGGAGCTGCCCTGGCGCCACACGTTGGTCCCGAAGCATAAAGATGTCCTCTTGTACGTCTGGCCTCGCCATCTGTGGAGACAGGGAGGGGTTGGTAAACAGCACCCAGAGACCTCTAGGAACATCTTTTCTTCTGGTATCTGAACCTCTGCTTATCTCTGTTCTGACTCGTATGTATATAAACAACTTTACAAGAGAAAATGAAAGATTCCAATAACCCAGGAAATCTCTACTCATCAAGCCATCCAGGCTTGACACGTTGATTGTGCCGGGGCCATGCTGATTTCAGAGTTACCTCTGCTCACAGCCCATCAGCCCTGCTGGGGCTCACCGCCATGCAGTGGTGAGCTGTGCTTTCCTCTGCTGTACCTGCTGTGGGTCCAAGGCTTGACTTCTTGGCTTGATTAAGATCTGTCATCTGGGGTAAACTGTGCAAAGGGTGATCAGGACTGATGGCCATGGTACCAAGTAGAAAGACCTTTTAGGATGCTGCGGGAGGTCAGTTAGGGGACAAGGAAGTGCAGCTGATGGCTCCCGGCCCTTCTATGTCCAGGGGGCAGATGCAGGGAAACATGAGCTCTCTGAGCCCTGTTTCCTAGGATGTAGGAGCTGAACAGCCATTGTGAAGCATGGCCACAACCCCAGCCATTAGAAGGTAGGGGCAGAAAGACCAGGAGTCATCCTCAGCTATATCATGAGTTGGAGACTAGCCTGAGTTACATGGCTCTGTCTTAAAAACGTCAGTAACTTGAGAAGAGAATCGTGAAGAACCATTCTCTGTCTAGCCCATTCCTGGAGCCAATTCCAGTGGCGTCTGTTGTGTTTCAACAACTTCCCTGCCTAGGTCCCGAGAACCCAGAACACATCTAGGCTTGTAGGAATAATGTGCATTTCCTAGCTGACCACCACAGTAACTGTAACGTCATGTTTCATAATATAAAAATCATCATTCCAATATATCAACAAGCCATTGTCCTTAAAGACTCATAAGACCTATAAAAACAAAAAGGAATAAAAATTTCTATCTCCTTCTCAAGGTCAGGAACTAAAACATTGTGGTTACCCTAATGCCCCAGCCTGTGTCCCCTCCTACACCACTTTGTCAAAATTAAACACTACTCTGAGTTAGGGCTTTTTTCACCCATCACCCACCCGCCTGCCCATCATTTATCTATATCTGGCTTTCTGCCTGCCTGCCTATCTGTCTATTTATCTATCATCTCTCTAATCCATTATTTATCTAATCATCTACCTACCTATTTGTCTACCTATCATCTGTCTAAGAACTGGAAATTGAATGCAAAGCCTCAGGCCAGCAGTCACTCTACTACCGAGTAGAGCTCTATTCTCAGTCCCCTTACTGGTGTAAAACACCATTCACGTGAATATTTTAAAATAAGTAGCACTGTTTAGGGCTTTCTTCGTCTTCCTTCTCCTCCTCCTCCTTCTGTTTTGTAAAGGGTAGTATACTGAAAGTGTCCTTGTTTTTTTTTCATATTATGGTGTGTGCATGATGCACGTATGCATGATGTATGTGAGCATACTCCTGCCAGTGTGTGTGTGTGTGTGTGTGTCAGAGTCAGACGGCAGTCTTGGGTGTGGGTCCTCATCTTCCACCATGTTTGAAGTAGTGTTTGGCACAGTGCTCCACGTGACAGGGTAACTGGCTTGCAAACCTCCAGGCTTTCTCCTGCCTCTGTTTCTCCTCTTGCCATAGAATTGCTGGAATTACAGAGGTACTGGCTTGCCTGGCTTTTATGTGTGTTCTGGGGGTCTGAACTCAGGTTCTCATATTTGTACAGCAAATACTTTACCCTGAGTCATCTCCTCAGCGCCTACATTAGAGTTTCGAGATTTATCCACCCATGTGACCCATGCCTTGTTTTCACAGCTAGGGTCCAGTCTCTCTCTCCTATTTTCCCCCATTGATATTATTACCTCAAAAATTTCTAATTATTAACACCAATATGAATATGAAATATGTAACAAAAGAAATATTAATATGAATAAAATGAGAGAAAAATATGAAATAAAAATAAATATTAAAAACATGTATAAAAAAGACCACATATGAATTTTAGGTAGTACCATCCTAATAATATTGGATTTTCCAATCCATGAACGTGTCTTTCCAATTACCATGTTCCCTAATTTCTTTCAGCAATGTTTTATAATTCCCTGGTTAAATTTATTTAATTTTCCTCTTTCCTTTTGATGATGCTGTATGTGGAATTGTTTATAAATTTTCAAGTGCCTTAGGGTCTGATCACTAGCACCTCCTCCTACCTAGATGGCTGCAGGGCCTCGAATAGGTTCTGCTTCTGCTCCTGCCTGCAATAGAATGTTCTAAGTATAAACTAACCCTTTAAAATGTTAGTTGGGTTAACTATCTAGAGTCAAAAAAGCAAGTCACTTAAATAATCTGTATTATCTGGATGTTTTTCCATTCATCAAAATTAAAAACTCATGTACAGGGCTAGAGAGATGGCTCGGTGGTTAAAAACACAGGCTACTCTTCCAGAGGACCCAGGTTTGATTCCCAGCTCACAGCAGTCTCTAACTGCAGTCCCAAAAGATCTGATACCCTCTTCTGGCCTCTTCAGGCCCCAGGGGGTATACAGACATGTGTGCAGGGAAAACACCCATATACATAAAATAACAAAAACAAAGGTTAAAAACCAGACAACTCATTGATTCAAAAGGCACCTTGATAGTACAAGGAAGTGAAAAGACAACTTCCCAAAAGGGAGAAAGTATTTTCAAATCATACAGCTAAGGGACTTTTTGCTGTACTTTGAAGAGTATGACAATTATCACTCTAAAAAAAAATAGTTTTAAAAGGGTCAAAGCTGGGGCTGGAGAGATGGCTCAGTGGGTAAAACACTTCAATCTCAGAACCCATGTAAAGTTGAGAATGACAAACATCTGTAATCCCAGTGTCCTACAGTGAGAGGGGAGGCCAAGACAGACAGACAGACAGACAGACAGACACACATATACAGACACATACGAGTGCGTTCACACACACAGAGAACATCCAATCAAAGCTCTTGGTTGCTGTGCTTGCACAGGGTGGGGGTTCTGGTAAAAGAACTGGGGTTATAAACTGAGGCCACCCTCCCTTACCCTTTAGGGAGGGCTAAAGAGAGACTAGCTTTCAGTAGAAGAAAGGTCTTGGGAAGGTGCTCAGGCAGGGGGCCCTGGTCCAGACTGGCCTCCTTCCTTTTGTCTGTATCCAGGATTAAGGGCTTTTCCAGTTAGGGCTGCTGTTGCTGCGCTGAAACTCCATAACCAAAGCAATTTGGAGAGGACAGGGTTTAGTTGGTTTACACTTCAATATCACTATCATCATCAAGGAAGTCAGGACAGAGACTCAAACAGGGCAGGAACTGGAGACTGGAGCTGATGCAGGGGTCACGGAAGGGCATTGCTTACTGGCTTGCTAGGATGGCCAGCCCAGATATGGCCCCATCCAATCCACAATGGGCTGGGCTCTCCCCTACCAATCACTAAGAAAATGTCCTACAGGCTTGCTTCCGCTTCCACCGAGCAGTTTTTTCCACCGAGCCTTTTCTTTTCTATATTTTTTGTTGTTGCTTTACTTGTTTGTTTTTCAAGACAGGGTTTCTCTTTGTAGACCCATCCTGGAACTTGTTCTGTATTAAAGGTGTGTGCCAACACCTGGTTCCTCTTAAGGAGACATTTCTCAACCTCCTCCCGCCCCAGGCAGGGTTTCTCTGTTGCTTTGGAGCCTGTCCTGGGACTCCCTTTACAAAGGGACCAGGGTGGCCTCGAACTCAAGAGATCCGCTGGTCTCTGCCTTCTGAGTGCTGGGATTAAAGGTGTGTGCCACCACCTCCAGGCCAGGAGACAGTCTCGGATGAGGCTCCATCCTCTCAGATGACTCTAGCTTGTGTCAAGTTGACATAAATTGTCCAGAACAGGGTGGGGTCTAGGCGTGGATGGGATCTAGGTGCAGACTGAGTTTCAGGAATGTGACAGTGTAGAGATCATAAATAGGTCTGGGCAGTGACTGGTTACCAGGCAGGGCTAAGTGTGGGAGGCTCTGGCCAGGACTGCCTGAGCCACTCCGCTCAGGCAGAAACAGTATCGTAGATTGGATTTGAGGATCTCAGTTCTGCTGGCCTCTCCTCTCTCTTACCCCTCTGCAGTGCCCACCTTTTTCAGTGTCTTCTAAGACAGCATCTGGGAATACTGGGCAAGAGTCAGGGTTGTTGCTAACCCCAGTCCCTTGCAGAGACTGATATTAAAGCATCCTCTATTATAGATCAAGCCCAGCCAAGTATGGAGGCTCATTCCTGTAACCCCAGTCCTTGGAAGGCTGTGTGACTTTGAGATCAATCTGACCTACATAATGAATTCATCATAAAAACCAAAACCAAACGCAAGACCTCTGCAAGTCTGATCTTTTAAACTGTCCAAAGTCCCTCCAAAGTCATTTTTCCCAAAAAAAGATACACAAATGACTCATAAGCACAGAAGAGATGCTTGGCACGGTTATTCATTATAGAAATGTAAATAAAGCCACAGAAGATACCACTAGGATGGCTGAGATAGTGTCAATGGTCAGCCCCACAGACTCTTGGGAATGCCTGGTGCAGAACAGTCGCACTGCGGTTGGTTGGTACCATTCCCTGGCTGGAATCCGCAACTGTGTAAGAGGAGAGACGGAGCTCAGCTCGGTGATGAAGAGCAAGCATTTGTCACTCTCTTCCTAGCTGTGCATGCAATGTGACCAACTGCTCCCGCGTTGCTGTGACGTCCCCAGAGTGGTGGACTGTGTCCTTGAAACGTCAGCCAGAGCCAACCCTTTCTCAAGTTGATTTGTCAGTATTTCAATGACAGGAAAAGAAACCAAAACAACGGCTATAATAAAAAAGATGAACGAAGGTGGGGGTTGGGTATAAACAAAGTATTTTAGATGTATAAAATGTCATAATTAATGTACAATTAGCACATGGTAATACAATATACAATTAACATAAGCATTGAAGAAGATGGTTAGTAATCATGTTGTCAAGGAAGTGGTGAGACTGGAACACTCATACTTGGATGGCTGAACTATATAATGGTGTGGCTGCTATAGTTATTCCTCAAAAAGTGAAGCAGAAATCCCAGCACTCGGGAGGCAAGGACGGGTGGATCTCTGTGAGTCTGAGGTCACCCAGGTCTATATAGCAAGTTCCAAGCAAGCATGAGCTACATATGGAAACCCTATCTCAAAAACAGCAACAAAACAAAAGGAGCAAGTTAAAATGGCTTATCATGTGTCCCAGTAATTCCATTTCTAGGTATGTATTCAATAGAGTTGAAATCACATTTCCACAAGACATCTTGACTACAAATACTAGTATTATAATAACTCCAAAGTGGAAACAATCTATCTAACAAAAGAGCAAATGGTCTCCCTGCAAGGTAGGATGGGACTGAACCATAGAAAGGAACGAACTATTAAAATGTGCTACATTAATAATGAGCTTGAGAAACACTATTTTAACTGAAAAAAAAAATCCAGGCACAAAAGACCTCGGGAAAAGGCCCACTATATGAAATATCCAGAATAGGAAATTCATAGAAACAGAGGCACCTGTGACAGCTGGGAGTGCAGTGAGGTGTGGGCAGAGCAACCACTGATGGGTGTGACTTTCACTGAATTAATGATGGCTGAAAATCCTGTGGGTATATTAAAAACTGTTGAGCTAACTATAAATAAAAATCAAGAACAGAAGATGGTAACTGCCCTGTATAGAACCTGATGCCAAATCTCCAACCCAGAAGCAAACAAAAAATCTAGGATGCACATCAGAAAGACAAATATTGTCTCATGGTTTATTCTCTTTGCAAAAGAACCAGTGCAAAAAAGACATGAATGCTGCCAATCTTCTCAGGTGATGCCAGAGGCAAACATTTCTGCTTTCCAGAGAACTCATCTTCCCTGTAGAAAAAGAAGTCTTGATCCTGTGGTCTTAAGTACCTGTGGACTAGCCAGTATCAAGCATCTCTTTGCATTCAGCGGCTGTCTAGGTTGGAGGCAGTTCCTTCAGCAGTGCCTGGGACAAGATGGACATCTGACCTGCACAATGGCTTGCCCAGAGAGACCCTACCAGTGGCTCTCAGCAACCTTCAATACTTGATTTTTTTTTTAAAATACTTATTTTATATGTGTAACTGTTTGGTCTGCACATGCTTGCATGAGATATGTGTGCCTGGTGCCAGCAGAGGTCAGAAGTGGGCAAATGTGCAAGAACTGTATAAGCTACCACGTGGGTGACAGAAATCCAGGACCTCTGCAAAAACAGCAAGTGCTCTTAACTGTTGAGCCGTTTCTCCAGCCCTCATGCTTGGTCTTGATTGGTGCCTGGCCCACATGGGAACATGTGGAGCCTGCACTACAGGATAGTATGCGAGCCGGGAACTAGGCTGGAGATTTAAAAACACACACACACAGAGACACGGGGATACAAGAATGCCCCCTTTATTATGTTCATGGGCAGCTTATATACGGATCCTTGACTGATAGCCAAGCCCCTGCCAAACACACCAGAAACCACTTCCCTGCCATCAGGAACTCCTGAGGGTCTCCTGCTCAGAGCAGCTGCAAACACAGGAAAACAAGTTGTTTTGCTCAGAGCAGCTGCAAGCATAAGAAGTTGTTTACAGGAAATTCAGGGACTGGGGGTCCACAGCCCCCATAGGGGGCCTTGAATGGCTTTCTCACTGGCAGAAAGACAGGATCAGAACAGACCATCAGGAAACCCTCATAAACAAGGAAGTGGTGAGTGACGACAAGGTCCTGAGACTCGGTACAGTTTGCCATGGGGCTCTGCTCTTGATTTGCTGATGGAGGAGACAAGATTGTGGTGAAGACTAGAGAGATGGCTCAGAGGTTAAGAGCACTGGCTGTTCTTCCAGAGGTCCCGAGTTCAATTCCCAGCAACCACATGGTGGCTCACAACCATCTATGATGAAATATGGTGCCTTCTTCTGTTGGGCAGGCATATGTGCAGGCAGAACACTGTGTACATAATAAATATTTTTTTAAAAATATTGTGCTGAGGGCTAAGCCTCTCTAGGCTTAGAGAAAGACGGGGCTGACAGTCTTTCTAGTCTTCATTAGCTGTGTGATGTTGGACAAGTTACTCCACGGGCTCCTGAGACTCGGTTTCCTCACCTAAGATGAGAATACTAGAGCGTGTTCCTCATGGGGTGGTCAGGTGGTTTTACTATGTCAAAGTGGGCTAAGCAACCAACAGCTTTGCCTTGGCTCCCAGGAGGGTTTAAAGGAGTTTGGAACTAAGTTTGGCAGAGGTTGTTGCCAGGAGTGCAGAGAGAGCAGACCCAGAAGCACAAACCGGAACTGGACGTCGTGGACTTGCAAACCTTTCTATATTAGAAGTCCGGCCACTGGGGAGTCCAGTATGTAGGAAAGAACAGAAGCTGAGATAGAAACCGTTGTGTGAGCGCTGAGGCCGGGTCCCCGCTGGCAGAAGCAGTTTTTAGAACCTTCATTTATTGGGTCCTGGCTTAGGAAGGAACCACAAGGGCGGAGCTGGAGATGGAGGCAGGGGCACACAGTCTCCGTGAGTACTCCTCCACGACCCCAATTCTGAGAACTCAGCTACCTGGCTACATGCCCTGACCCCCAAAGTTGGAAAGAATTAAGATTCCACATTTATCTTATAAAGTAGGATTTATTAGCCCAAGTTTCCTTCCTTTGCTGTGGATTCATAGGCGTTGACAGACTACCTGACACATTACAAGGGTGCTTCCCACCAGCTGCCGACTCCGGGGTGTGTGAAGGGTCATGGTCAGGTTGGAGGATGCAGGGCAGCCCTGGAGCCCACGAATCGGAGCCCTGTACCAACACGAAGGGTTTGGGCCTCATGCTGGAGTGGTTATCGTCATTTTACAGGAGCTAATGCTCCAACACTCCAGGCTGAGAGCTGGCCAGAGGCCTGCGGTTGGCCGGGCATCTCCTTACGGCCGACAGTCAAAGGCTGCACTCCCAGGCCACCCTGGTGGCAGTCCTACTTGCCAACCCCTGGCTGGGCATCGCGGTCACCTCTACGGTGGGTCTATGCAACCGATTTGCGTCACTGCTGCTTGCTTGCCTCCCAGGTGGGTGGGAGCGTCCTGTGGATCAGGGTGAGTCCACAGAGGATGAGGAACACCCCTCCCCACCACAAGACCTCCTGGCATTCTCCGTACAGCACGTAGCCTAAGATGGCCTGTGGGAGAGACAAGTGTAAGGGACCTGGCCTCCTCCAGTGGGCTCTACCAGGCCTCAGAGGCTGACTTCTTCCTGAGGAGGCCAGACGCCAATGTCTGCTGCTTCACATCCAACTCCCACCTTCACCACAACAATCATGTACTTACTTATGTCTTCTCTGCGGAAGTCAGGGGCTACCCCGACTGAGCAACGAGGCCCAACAGAGGCCAGCAGGTGAGGCCAGTAATCATAAAAGCAAGCTAGGCCTCGTTCCTTCCACTTCAGGACTGCCGTGTCTGCTCCACCTTGTTGGCCTTGGGTTTACACAGGGAACCTGACCAGTCCCCTCTATGCCCACAGCTAATGTCATCATTCCCAGACTTATGAGAGACAGGCCAAGGGACTTCACATGGCTGGTGTGATCATTTCATCCCTACCTAAGCTTTCCAGGTTTAGCTGTTCCTCCACTGGCGAGTCCAACCTCTGCTTGACTTCCTGTCCTTTCTTGAGCCTGAACAAGCAGGGGTTTCCCCAAGGTCAACTCACCCAGAACATGAGTAAGAACAAGGTCACCAGGCTACTCACCGAGCTGAGTATGTTCGAACATGTCACTGTGACAGATGCAATGGCTGAAGACATAGAGAAACTGAGGCCCCGGCTAAAGAAGGTCCACATCAGAGAATTGGTGCTTGCCATGGCAATAATGCCTAAGACACACACGCCAATATTCACCTGAAGGAGAGAGGGTCACTGCAGCTACAACCACCAAGGGCAGAATCTTAAAGGCCCGGGGGATCTTTAGATGCCTACTGCAAAGGATATGTAGACCTTGTTGACAGACTGAGGTACCTGCCTCTAGGTAAGGGGCATGGTTTTCTTTCGTGTAGACCTCAAATTTCTCGCAGCCTAGTAGTCTTTTGGAAAGAGATGACTTACAAAAGGGCATCATCAGGGCCAAGGGCAACCTGCTTGCACAATGGGTAACCGAAGTCTGATCGCTACTGGAAAAGAGTTAGAAAAACTTCCATAGTCTGGAGCCCTTCGTTGCACTCTGGACCACTTGGGCACATCTGCACACCCAAAGGGAGGTGCGCTTCGAGCCTGGCAACTGCAACTCGGTTGGTTCTAAATCGCCAGGAATCTTAAAAAGAAACAAGCGATCTCCTATTGAGGTCGGAACTTGATCCTCTCTTGAAGTCGAGGCTGGACAGAGGAGAGGGCCGGCAGCCCACCTCTCTAGGGGCGTCGTCAGGGCTCCGGCCAGAGACTGGACGAGGTGGGCAACCGGCTATCTCCTCCTAGGAATCACGTGCCGGGTCGGGCTGGGCTCAGGGGTGCACGGGCCTTGCAGGGAGAGGTGATGCGGGCATCCTCCCCCACCCGCCGCTCCCTCCTCGCCCTCCTCCCCCGCTGTCCTCCCGCCCCGACCCACACCTGCCCGCCGAAGGCCAGCTTGGCCGCGGCGGCCGCCAGAGACCCGAACGCGCCGGCACACAGACAGTTGAGCACGCCCCAGAAGCGGCTCCGCATGGCGCCGGCCCGGAGGCGAGCGGGGAGCTCCACGGGGGAGTCGGGGTAGGCGGCTGCGGATACGGCGGTACCAGAGGTAGGCGGCCCGGCCGCCATGAGGCCCGCTGCGCCCGCCGCAGCCGAGCCTCCGTGAGCCCGGCAAGGGCGGAGCCAGGACGAGCATGGGGAAGGCGGGGCGAGGCGAATCTGCCAGTGAGCACCGTGCGCCACTGAGGCGAATCTTCTGCTGAGGCGAATCTGTCACAGTGCTGAAGTGAACTAGATCCCGAAAGACCCCTGCAGCCCAGGGGAAGACGGGGTGGTTTGCAGTTCCATACCTTCTTCCCCTGGGCTTGGATGAGCACCTGAAAATGCTGATTCGGGGCTCTGCAGGTCCTGAAGCCAATGTGCACCGTAAAGATGCGTGGTGGTGCACGCCTTTAATCCCAGCACTCGAGAGGCAGAGGCAGGCGGATCTCTGTGAGTTCGAGGCCAGCCTGGTCTACAACAGCTAGTTCCAGTACAGGATACACAGAGAAGAACCAAAACCAAACCAAACAAAATGTTTCCAGCTCTTGCTCCCTCGTGGATGCAGGGGACAGATCTGGAGGCGTGCAGCTCGAGACAGAAGTTTGGGGAAAGTGCCAAGAAAAGCGTCTTTTTGTTAATCGCTTTCGTTTGTTAACCACCAGAACCACAATCACTTCAAAACTCATTATAAATTATCCAAAAAACTAAAACGCATCACCTACTGTCAGCAATATTACAAGTTAATGGCAATCCTGGACAACTCATCTCACATAAGAGGGATGGGGCAGCCTGGCATGGTTGGTGGCACAGGTCTGAAATCCTAGCACTACTGAGGCTGAGGCAGGATTATTGTGAGTTTGAGGCCAGTCTGGACAATATAGCAAGTACTAGACTAGCCAAAGACTTTTTGAGACTACCTCAAAAATATGTTTTTTGAAAAACGGTTGGGGACCTAAGTTAGTGCTTCCCTAACACATGGAAAATCCTGAGTTCAATCCATGACAGTATATATAGTGGGTACATTTCCTTAAAAAAATTAAAACAAACAAAACCCCAAAGTGCTTTAGAAGTGTATAAAGTGGGCCTGGCTAAGGGTGCACCTCAGGAGGCAGAGGCGAATGGATCTCTGTGAGTGAGAGCAGCCTGGGCTACAGAGTTCACTTCTTGTTCAGCACACTATTCCCGTGGACATTCTTAACATGCCCCATTGTTCCTCATGCAGGTAGTTTTGTGCCGGAAATGAGGGGATGGAGTTTTGGGGGCTGGAGCAATGGCTTAGCAGTCCGGATCCCAGCCACCAGTTTAGGCAGCTTACAACCTCACAGCTCCCCACAACTTCATACCTCCAGGAGACCCAGTGCTTTTCCTGGCCTCCATAGGCAGCTTCACTCATGTACACATACCTGAACACATACACATATAAAAACAAATCTTAAATAAAACCATCGATTATCCCAGGTAGCTGTATGTGGTATAAACGATTTCATCCGCAGTGAAGGAAGTTGACATGCAGAGGCCTCGTCGTACTGTTTCTCTTGATGGTGGAGAGATCTTACGCTGTGGCAACGGGCAAGCGTAGCTAAAACAGATCTAAGCTGCTTCTGTCATGGTTTCCATCCCAGAGATTAGGAAGGAACATTGCTTTTAGCAGAAATGGTCTTCATGTTTTAGCAGAGGAAGGCAGACAACTGTTCGCATCTGATGTGTGAGGTGTAGAGAAACAGTGTGGCCAACAGAATTAGAGATTTCAAAGCAAAGCTAGTGTGTTGACTTGGTTATTATTTGTGTATCCAATGTCAAAACCTAACAAACAATCTGGGTGTGGTGGTGTATACCTAAAATTCTCAAACTTTGGAGGTAGAAGCAGGAGGATCAGGAATCCACGGGCATCTTTGCCTACATAGTGAGATCAAGGTAAACCTGGATTACACAAGACCCTATGATCCTGGTCAAAAAACTCACAACTAGGGCTTGAGAGTTAGCCCGGAGGATAGGAGTCCTTGTTCTTGCAGAGGGCCTGGGTTTGGTTCCCGGCACCCAGAGAGCTCACAGTTATCAGTAACTAGTTCTAGGAGATCTGGCACCCTCTTCTGACCTCCAAGGATACCAGGCACACATGTGGGACAGGTACATACATGCAGGCAAAATATTTATACACATAATTTTTTTAGCCCCCCCCTCGGAAAGAATTATACACATAATTTTTTAAAACCCGTTTCTGAAAAAATTTATTTGACTGTATAAAAAATTAGACATGTATAAAATGCTCATGACAATAGTTATAAAAAACAAACAAACAAACAAACGTATAGGAACAAGTTTGCTACAAAACAGTCAGCCATCAAATTCACATCAAGTTTATCAAAGGTGAATCTAAGGAGAAAAGAACTTAGCCAACATTCACCAGAGACCTCAGCTGTAGGTTTTTATTTTAAAGGTTCTCCCAGAACTTACAAGTGACCTTAAGCCTGCAAGTGCATTGTTAGCCACTTAACAGTCTGCTGTTGCATGCAGAACATCCATAGAATACTGAGGGTCACTGCACACCATGGTTTATAATGAAGGTCTCTTAGTTTGTCTCTATTCCTTGGGCAAGTGCAATCTCACTTTAAAGAACCAATCTAGACAACGTGAGGTCTAGGGAGCTGCCTAGGAGCTTTAGAACTCATTCTTTTTCTTTTCTTTCAAAAATACATTTTCAGCACGCAACTTTTCTGTCTCCTGTAATTTAAAAAAAAGAAAATTAAGTTTCTAATTGTTATAGAAGCTATTTTCTTTACTTCAGTATATATTCAAATTAAAGCTACAATATTTAGTTGTTTGTGAATATTAAGTAAAAATCTGGCACCTGTAAGATTAGAGTGTGACCCTGTCTCAAAACACAAAAAAGTAAAATAGCAATGACTAATTTATTTTACTAAAATAATCATTGTTAAGCCACCATAAATTTATTTAGAATAGTTTCCAGTTTACCTCAGCAAGCCTGACGTTTTCCTTCTTGAGACGCACTACATACTGGATCTTCTGATGTAGGTTTCGATGACCTATCAATTTTCCGTTCTCCTCAGCAAGATACTCGAGTTGCTTTCTCAGCATCTCCATTTCCTGTCAACCCAAGGACGGGAAGATCACACTGTGCACACCCTCTCACCAGCACCAATGGAGCGCTGGCCAAGGTTCTGTGGCCTTCTGCACACTAGAGAAACTGAACCAGGGATGTGTTTTGTTAATTCTGGACAACCCGACGCACCTGGAAAGTCCTCTCTCTTTCTTCGTACATTTCTTCCAGCTTTGACCGCAGCTGCTCCTTTTCCTGAAATGCTCTCGACTCCAGAGTTCTGGTTCTCTCGATCTCCTCACCCATCCTGCGGCAGACCTTTTCCTTACTCTGAAGAACACTCTGGACTTCTTCTAGCCTGGAAGAATAGCATTACTAACAATATTGCAAGAAAATATAGTTATAAAACAGGACTCAAACTAGGCTTTTCCTTCTAAGTTCAGAATTTTGATTTCTTCAGGACTCCTGTAGAGCTGGCAAAAGAAGACAGGCTTACTTCTTCTTAAAGGTGCACACCTTTAAATCCGAGCACTCCCGAGGCAGAAGGTAGACCTCTGAATACAAGGCCAGCTTGGTCTACAGAGCAAGTTCCAGGACAGTCAAGATTACACAGAGAAAACCCTCTCTTGAAACAAAGGCTAGAACTGGGGTGGACCTAGGTGGCGAAGGCTTTGCTGACAATGGCTCGGGCCCTGGGCTCCACTTTCCTCAACACAGTAGAGGGATAGTACTGAATATCAGATGTGACTGCTTTGTTAAATCAATGTTTTAATCCTGAGAAAAACTCTTTAAACCATTTTATTTATTATTTGGAGTCACACTGTTGTGTAGTTCAGGTTATCCTCAAAGTCAACATGTAGCTGAGGATGACCTACTTCCCTTACCCGAGTGCTGGGATTATAGGCGTATTTCACAATGACAGGCTTCACATTTTTAATCATAAGAATTTAGTGTGAAACTTTATTTGCCCACAAGGAGATGGAAATGAGGTATCATTACAGTCTGTAGGCTTTAAGTGTCTCCAATCTCAGAATAATGATTTCTGATTTAAAAACCAAGCCCCAGACAATGGAACAATAGTTCTGTCATCAGGGGTGTGTACCTTACCCATTTCACCTATTTTTAAGACCGTTTCAGTCTTGTAAACTTTCTGTTAGAAACACTGTTTGCTACAATGCATGTGGAATGCACTACGGACTGATGGATGAGGTGATACACGGGATCTAACCTCTCCATAGGCCAGCTCAATCTAGGCAATGTGTTTCCAGAGCATGCTCAGCCATACCCTCAGAGATGATGCAGGCAGAGCTCCACCTCTGCTCTGGTTGAATAAAAAGCTCAGACGCTGCTCCTGCCCACCTTACTGTCAGTCAGGTGTTGTGGCTTGAATGTGAAAAGTTCCCTAGGGCTCATGCATTTTTAATACTGGGTTCCTAGCGGATAGGCGCTATTTTGGAAGGCAGTGGAGACTTTCTGTAGGAAGTACATTCCTCTAAGGCCCATGTCTTGAGGGTTTTTGTTTTGTTTGAGGCAGGGCCTCTCTATGTAGCCCTGGTTGTCATGGAACTTACGATGTGGCCCAGGATAGTCTTGAACTCGAGACCTACTTGTCTCTTCCTTCTGAGTGCCAGGATTAAAGGTGTGCACCGTCAAATTTTACTGCCCAGCCATACTTCCTGTTTTCTCCCTGATTCCTGACTACCAATGCAGTATGATGGCTAGCTTCCTACTCTTGCCCCTATGCTATTCCCCACCATGATGGTCTGGATCCCTCTGGAACCGTAAATCAAAATAAAGCCTTTTTTTCTTCCTTTGTCAGTAATGTATCTAAATACATGGAGACATCTGGCTTGTTTCTGAGGAAGAGAACACTGGCCCATCCGTTTCCCAGCAGAGGACGATGCTGGCCTAAGATGAGCATGGTGAGCTCTGTCTTCCTGCTGGACACTGGTTTGTTTTCTAAGCCCTGAGGATGTCTGAATTCCAGGACAGCAAGGGCTAAAAGATGAGACCTCGCTAAAAAAGAAAAAAAAAGAAGCAGCAGCCACCACCCCCCTATGGAGACAGGATGTTAGAACTGCAGTAGGGTATATTGTAGCCGGTAGTACCAAAAGCACAATTGAGGAAAGTCTCAGTTCCTGATTGTATCACCAAGTCCCAACCACATGAAATCAAATCTTTCCTGCCCATGCCACCACAGTTTGATATCTAGTTCTCAGCAGCACTTAAGAAAATGTGTTGTGTGTGCACCCACAACATGGTGTGTGCTCTGTATGCTTCAAAGACCACATATCACTGAGGGTTTCTGTCACCACAAGAAACACATGCCATACAGTGACAAGGTCCCAAAGGATATATCTAAATTGGCTGTAGTTCTACAAACTTATCTGGAGTGTTCACTATCCTGTATGCCAGCTTAACCACTACTAGCTGGAAACCTGTTAAACTGCTCAACTGTCCATGAGGAACTCAAGAAAACTAAAGATTGCCCATACGCTTTTTTGTTGATGTTGCTGCTGTTAAAAGTGGCTTTACATGAAAAGCCTATTGAGCAAATATTGAGGTTAGAGACACGGCTCAACAGTTAAGAGCACTTGTTTCGGAAGAGACCTGCAGTTCAGCTCCAAGCACCATAAAGGGCAGGTCACATCTGCCTCTAACTAGCTGTAGGGGATCCGATATTCTCTTCTGGTCTCTGCAGGCATCTGCATGCATGTGTGCATACCCATATACAAACACATGCATATAAAATAAAATTTTATTAAAAAAAACACTTTGAGCAGGGCAGTGGTGGCACACGCCTTTAATCCCAGCACTTGGGAGGCAGAGGCAGGCGGATCTCTTTGAGTTCGGGCCCAGCCTGGTCTACGGAGTAAGTTCTAGGACAGGCTCCATAGCTACACAAAGAAACCCTGATAAACACCAATATACACATATACCACAGAAGGGAATAAGCTATCTTACAGATGTATCTTCCCTTTAGAGGAGAATTTCACCCACAGGACAGTTTACAACACTGTAATTCCAGTTCTAGGGGATCTGCTGCCCCCTTCTGACCACTGCAGGTACCAGACACACATCATACACAAGGCAAAGCAAAACATCCATACACATAAAATTAAAAACAACATCAACAAAGAACTAGGCCTGGCAGGACGGCTCAGCAGGGGGACACTTTCTGGACAAGCCTGATGACCTATGTGGAAGATCCTCAAACCTCCACACACATGGCAGGGCGTGTATGCACTCCCCCATAATAAAATTTAGAAATACAAAAAAAGAAAGAAAGAAAGAAAAAAGGACTTGAACTATAAAATAGCACACTTACTCTGTTCTCATCTTCAGCATTTCTTCAATAAGTTTATTCTATAATTAAAAAAAGAAAAGATGGTTAGGTTCTTAATACCTTTACTAAAAAGAAGATGGAGAGGAACAAGTCCATTTTCCTTTGTGCTAATAAAATGAAGCCGATGTCCACTCCCACAATCCCACAGGGATACACAAAAGACACTGGTTCACCAGCATTCCTGTGCTGTGCTAAAGACACCACACTCGATTCTACGCAGATAACCGTGCGTGGGAAATGCAGTGCTTGTGTAGAAATACAAAGGCAGATACCGCCTTCCAGTCTCCCAAGTACTGGAACCGCACTGGGTGTGCAGCACCAGGCCCGGCTGACAGATGCACCTTGACTTCTCAGTTAATCAGTGGGAACACAGTAAAGGCAATAATTTCAAAAGCAAAGTGGTTTCTAAAATAAATAACCGTGAATGTTATGTATAAAAGCAATTCTCATAGAAGAAACTTATGTAAACAAAGCCATACTTTAGCAAGTCTTTCTTTGACCATCTCCTCTTCATGTTCGTTCTTCAGCGGTTGACTGTCTGGATGGCTCTGACTGTTGCACAGATTAGGGAACAGACAGGGAAACACTGTCAGGTATATTCAAGGATTAATTTACCGTTTCGTATATGTAACTATAGTAAAGCTAACTGTGCTGATTAAGTTAGAACAGTTAACCAGTGTGACCACAGATGGGATAAAGAGGGCCCTCCCCAGAATTCAGGACTGAACCTTATCTCTGTAAAAGCAAGACCAGCAGAGTGCAGAAATCTAACCAAGGCTTAAAGGAAAAGTTAGTGTAGAAATTTTGCTGAAAGTGGCAACATGAAGATCACCTCTGAGTTAGCGGGCAGACTGCCAACAGAAGAGGGCAGAAGGTGGGAGGGGAGTTAGATAACAGTCTCTGATAACCACTCTGGCTTCATGTGTATCCAAACGGCAGGGACGACCTGAGCATATAACATGGGCCGCGTCACAGAAAACAAATACTCCGTCAACAAATCAAGGGACTATAGTCTGGATGGCATATGCACCTCTGCAAGTTTGCCTGGGTTGGGAAAAATGTGGTCCAGTGGGTCAGCAAGATCTCACTGGAGAGCTGAGTGCTGTGGGCTTTGCTAGGAATCTCAGATGTGAACAGACCACCATTAGTAAGGCTTCTCTCCCTTCGCATGACTGTAGCCTAGTCATGGTACTGAGACTCAAATGTAAAGTCACCCACGGTCAGGGAAAGGTGTGTTTGTTGGGAGCTGGAGAGATGGCTCTGAGGTTAAGAGCCCTGGCTGCCTTTCCACAGGTCCTGAGTTCAGTTCCCAGCAATCACATGGTGGCTCACAACCATCTGTAATGAGATCTGGTGCCCTCTTCTGGCCTGCAGGTATACATGCAGGCAGAGTACTGTATATATAATAAATAAATAAATCTTAAAACTAAACCTCCCCTCCCCCCAAAAAACCCAAAACTAAAACACAGGTGTGCTGTTTGTGTATTTGTGTACTGATCCACGGTCAGGAAAACTTTTTTTTCTTCTTTTTTGCCAACATTCAGACAATGGGGCTGAGAGATGGCTCAGCAGTTCAAAGCACTTGCTGCTCTTCCAGAAGACTGGGGTTTGTGTCCCCACATCTACACGGTAATTCACAACGACTTGTAACTCCAGTTCCAGGGAACCCAACACCTTTTTCTGGCCTCTTCAGGCACCAGGCACACAATTGTTACAGATAAACTTACAGACAAAATATTAATACCCATAAAATAAGATCCAGACATTAAGTATTTTAGACTTATAGCCCTATCTATCACATTACAGCCATTCAGCATGGTGACTGAAAGGAGGCAAGCCAGGCTTGGTAGCATACACCTGTGATTCTAGCACTCAGGAGGGAGAGGCAGGTAGATTTCTGAGTTTGAGACCAGCCTGGTCTACATAACTAGTTTTAGGCTTGCCAAGGCTGTACATAAAACAAACAAAGAAGCAATAAATGAAGTGACTATGAATCAACAGAACACTATTTATGAGGTTAGGGACCAGACTGGGTTATAGTTTGCACAAACCTGAAAAGAAGTGAAATAAACTAGGCAGTGGTGGCGCACACCTTTAATCCCAGCACTTGGGAGGCAGAGGTAGGTGGATCTCTGTGAGTTCAAGGCCAGCCTGGTGTACAAACAGAGTACCAGGATAGCCAGGACTGTTAAACAGAGAAACCCTCCCTCAAAACCTTCCTCCCCACAAAACAAACAAACCAACCAACAAAAACAAGAAAAAAAAAGAAGTAAAATAAGGTACTTTAAATTGTGGTTTAATAGATGACTTGGAAAAGTACTGTGCTCTTCATAAGACTGGCAAGGAGTGGAGCACATGGGAAACAGGCGAGCAGACTTGTAGACAGCAAATAGTCACCTAGAGCAATAGTTCTCAACCTTCCTAACGCTGTGACCCCTTAAAATTACTTTGTTGCTACTTCAGAACTGTAATTTTGCTAAGGTTATAAATTGCAATGTAAACACCTGGTCCTCAGGATATCTGATACGACCCCAAAGGGGTCACGGCCCATGAGATGAGAACCACTGACCTAGGGGAGCACCTAATTACCAGCGACTTACTCTAGTCCACTAAGTCAGTAGTATGGAGTTCCCTACGATGGGAAGAGAAACATCCACGCCGTCAGCAGAGCTGCCTTTATAACTCTCTCAAATCTTTGTTATCCCATCTTAGACTGTCTCAGGACAGCTTCTGAAAATGTCTAGACAGTTGGCACGTCTCTAATATTCTCTGGAAAAAGCATGGACCCAATCTGGGGAATGAAATTAGTAAGGGCCCAATCCCAGAAAATTCTTTCTGGACCATTTCACCTCCCTGCCTTATTTTGTTGCTGTTGGAGAAGGTCTTATGTAGCCCAGGCTAGTCTTGAATTTGATGTGTAGCGGAAGATGACCGTGAACTTCTCCCCTTGCCTGCACATCTTGAGTAGGGCTACAGGCAGGCATGGATGACGACACCAGGTTTATAAGTAGCCCTCCTATTGCTGGTCCTCTTGGAGAAAGTTAACAGGCAACAATTCTACACCGTACACTTGATGTCTAGTTTGGTTTTGTTTGTGGTATTGGATATCGAACCTAGGGCCTTAGGCATGCTTAGCAGGATGCTGAAGAAGCCTCGGTCTGGTAGGTTGCTTTCCCTGAACCGTATTGCAAAGCAGAGTCGACTGGTGGGAAACTCTCTCCTTTTCTGCATCTTGTACCTCAAGACTTCTGGCTCTTACTCACCCACTGTCTTTCTGCCTTTTAACATCATCCAGCTGACTTTGCAGGAGCCAGTTTTTCTCTCTTAATTGCTGAGACTCCAGGCGCAGATTCTCCATTTCACACAGCTGATCCTGAGAACACATCAAATAGCTTTTTTCAAAAGAAATATCAGACTGGGTGCTATTTTTCTTCTCAAGGTTGTGACTGAAGCTGGGTGTTGTGGCACACACCTTTAATTCCAAAACTTGGGAGGCAGAGGTGGGCAAAACTCTGAGTTTGCTGTACATAAGGAGTTTCAGGACAGCAAGGTCTGTGAAGTAACACTGTGTGTCAGGTCCCCACGTCCCCAAAGAAAAGGTTGTGACTGAGACAGGGACTCCTTTTTTTTTTTATTTTTTTTAACATTACCTTTTTTGTTTTTCAAGATAGCATTTAACTGTGTAGCCCTGGCTACCCTGAAACTCATTCTGCAGACCAGGCTGGCCTTCAACTCACAGAGATCCGCCTGTCTCTGACTCCCAAGTGCTGGGATTAAAAGCATGTGCCACCACCTGGCTATATTATTCTTAAAATACAACACTGAGTGTTTTTGAATTAAACAGTTGGTGATGGGTTCTTGGAGACTTAGAACCGTGACTCATGAACATGTCCAGTGTCTTAAAACAGCCTAAGAGAGGAGAGAAAAGGAAACTATACCGAGGGGCTGGGAAGATGGCGCAGTCAGTATAGTACCCGCTCTGAGGCCTTGCCTCAAAAATTAAGGTGGAAAGTGATAGAGAAACCCATGTGATGTTGACTGCTGGCCTCCACGAGCACATGCACCTAAGACATGCATGCCACATTTAAAATCTGTGCTGAGGTAATATGCTATTAATCTGCCAAGATTTAGAAGCTGGACAGCACTGAGGTGAAGTTCAAGGAATCAGGCTTCTTATTCATTGCTCATAACAATGTGGTTGGTAGAGACTATGATACTAAAAACCCCACATGGCAGGGAAAGGGAGCTTACAGACTTAAGTGAGTATGTACTGAACAGTTTTAAAAAGAAAGAGAAGGAAAGTGGGAGCTCCCCGGGACAACAAAGTAGACTACCAGGGGTCAAGGGTGGGAGGAAGACTCTGAAAAAGTTCTGGCCTTTAGAATGTGGATCAGCAGCAGCTGGAAGGAAGCTGAAGATTTTTAAAGCTCACTGAAAGAAAAAGTCATGTACCTTCATTCTGAGGATTTCAGCATTTTTGACTTCTCTTTCTTCATTTAGTTTTGTAACAAGGTGCTGCAAAAAATTCTTAGAGGCCCGTCCATCTTCTATCTCTTGTTCTTGTGTTTCCAAGAGTTTGGCCAAATGAGGTTGAAAAGGAGGTGGTGTTTTGGGACTCTGAAATAAAAATCACAGTCCATCCAAATGCTTGCTTACACGATACCATGAAGAGTTCATCTGCAGTCCACACACCGCACTGATAACATGCGGGTTTTCACGTGTATGCCACACCCCTAGAACATGGTGCACGCTGAGAAAGGCCACTTAGTTTATTATTTTAATTCCCATCCAAGCAAAACAAAAGAACTTACCAAGTAGAAAGCAGACGGGGTGTTAATGAAGAGACTTTTTTCTTAAAAATTACAAGAAATAATGATTTACACATTTTTCTCATTAGAAAAACTATTCTGAAATGCACTTTTTTGGAAAAGTACCTGTGGATACTCGGTAGCAGAATCCATCACATGCTCCAGCTGTCTCATTTTGAAGTTATATTCATTCTTCTTCTGCTCTACTTCTTCTTTCTCTTGGTTTAACTGGGCAAATTGAACAGATAACAGGTTATAGTTTAGAAAATAATTCAGGATACACAGTCCAATTAGAAAAGACAAGTTTCCTTACTGCCAACCACCAGAGAAAAGCACATCACATCAGCGCTCTGCCCCTGTTAAGGTGAAAGAGCTGTACTAGTTGAGGACATGGACAGAGTCTGTATTGCTCTGGGTATGCCAATTAGTACAAACCCACGGAAAAGGGCAGGGTCACCCCAAACAAACTAGAACTCCCACGTGGTCAGCAATCTCAGTTCTCGGTCTTTATTTGAAGGAAATGAAATGGTGTGTGTGTGTGCTCACATCTGTGGGGGATCACATGCAGAAGCATGGGTATGACCTGTGGAGGCCAACCGCTAGTCAGTGTGCTCAAGGGACTCCCTGGCTCTGCTCCCTGCACACTAGGTCACAAGTACACCACCATGTCTACCTAGCTGTTGTGAGCTTTGTACATCCAAGCAGCAGGACTTATGCTTGCCTGGCAACTGCTCCATCTACTGAACCATCCTGCCCAGTTTGTGATACAATAAGTGAGGACTGCATCCCTGTGTTAACCACACCCTTGTTCACAAGAGCCAAAGCACAGTAAATCTGATTATCCACCAGCAGATGGAAAGAAAACAAGGATACAAAAGAGCACTGGCCAGTTGTAGGACAAGGCAAATTGTCACCTGCAATAAAATGGATAAACCTAGAAGATATCACAAAACTGACAGAAGCCAAGGGCAGAAACACTATGAACTAGCTTCTGCTGTGGAATCCACAACAGCGTCACTCAGAAGAGTTGAAAGGAATAGTAGTTATGAGAGACCGGGGAGTTAAAGAGTCCTGGACAGGAGGTGTCCACCAAAGTCTATTAAGTTCAGACAGAGAAGAGTGTTTGAGACCTAATATATCTTGAGCACAAGCAAAAATAATGCATAAAGTATAGTTCAAAACAGTAAATAGTAGTTTTAAAACTGTATCACAAACAAAACAATAAGTGAGGTAATGGATATATTCATCAATCTGATTTAATCATAGTATGATGTATACACATATGAAGGTAATGGATATACTAACCAATCTGATTTAATCATAGTATGATGTATACACATATGAAGATAATGGATATACTAACCAATCTGATTTAATCATAGTATAATGTATACACATATCAAGGCAACACAGTGTGGCAAGTGAGATGCCTGGCGCCTGTAATCCCAGAATTCAGGGGGTGGAGATTAGGAAGATTATCATGAGTTTGAGGACAGCCTGAATTATAGAATATCAGGCCAGTCTGGGATGCCTATTGAGTACCAGGCAAGCCAGAGCTACAAAGCGAGCTTGTTTCAACAAACTCCAGAAAAACCTATAAATATGAACCTCACAAATATATCTAATTATTTATTATGTAAAAAAGAGATTTTATTCTGGGTGTAGTGGCATGTACCTGTCCTCTCAGCACTCTGAGAGGTGTGATGTAGGATTCCCCTCTGAATGCTCTGATTACCATTAACGAATAAAGAAACTGCTTTGGACCTATAGTAAGACAGAACTTAGTTAAGCGGGGAAAATTAAACTGAATGCTGGGAGGAAGAAGGCGGAGTCAAGGAAAAGGCATGTAGCCCTGCCGGACACAGATGCCTAAACTTCACCCGATAAGCCACAGCCATGTGGCGATATACAGATTACTAGAAATGGGTTAAATTAAGATATAAGACTTAGCCAAAGTTAAAGCTAATGGGTCAAGCAGTGTTTTAATTAATACAATTTTCAGCAGCCAGGAACCAACAAGCGGCCTCCCCACAACAGAGGTGAAGGCAAGAAAATGATGAGCTCAAAGCCAACCTAGGATAAATAGTGAGACCCACTCTCAAACAACAGCAAAAACGTGTTTCTTAAGTGTTATACATATGTACAGTTTATTACTTAGAAGGCTATAGTTTTAATATCTTACTGTTCGTAACCACAACCTTATCGCAGATATTGTTATCATGTGTCAAAAACCTGGGCAGGGAGGGAAGTCCGTGGTGGAATGAGAGCCTGTAATCAACCCATTTGCTGACCTTCTGTGCACAGAGAACTTAGCCACAGCAGGACCGTCAGGACACCCTGCCCTATGCTATTCCCTGCTGGTGTCTTGGTGCCCCTCACCTTGTGCTGAAGCTCCTGGATCAACGCCTCCTTCTTGGTCAGCTCTTCCTGGGCAGACTGCAGTAGCCCAGAGTGCTTTTTGGAGGCCTCTGTGAGTGTGTTCAGCTGCTCAGTGGCATGGGCCAGATCTTCACACAGCATGTCCTTCTGTTAGGAAACAATGTCCCAAAGGAAACAGTTCGTATCTATCTTGTTTGTTTCATAAATCATTGCATTCTTATAAATTTTTTAAAGTTAGAAAAGTCGCATATAAAAATCTTTAAAATCCCCCCTCCAGCTTATGGGCTAAACCATTCCAAGACAACCCAGGCAGTTGATACATAAATACAGGCCTAGGTGTGATTTCAGCAGATTCAGGCTTCTGTGTAAGGCTAGGTAGTCAGCTCTTTCTATTCAGGGATTTAGAGTTGATCTTTTCATGGAGAACACTCAAGATGCAAAGCTTACTTAATATCCCATTGATTGAGTTTTATGGGTTTATATATGTATATTTGCACAATGCATGTATATGTGTGTGTAAATGTGTATATGACATGTACAGGTGTCAGAGGTCATGTCAGGCATCTTTATTATTGTACACCTTATCTTGTGTGTGACAAGATCTCTCACTGGACCTGGAATAAATCACCTGGCTAGATTGATTGGCTAGCAAGCACCGTGGATCTGTCTGACTCTGCCCACTAGCGCTATACACTATGGTTACAGATTTAGCTGATAAGCTCAGTTTTTTCATTGGCTGAGGATCCAAACATGGGTCTTTATGTTTATGCCGCAAGCACTTTATCCACAGAGCAATATCCTCAGCCCAATTCTGGGCTTCATATTCTAGAAGGTAAACAGCTGTTAAAGATGTCTTCAGAGAGAATTCCTCACGCCTGCCTATGTAGTTCTTACTTACATAGCACAGGCAGTGACCATATCAAAGCAGAATCTGCTCACCCTTTGTTGCCGTGTAGACATATGCACACAGTTTTAAAAGGATGATCTCAGGGCTAGAGAGATGAACAGCTGTCAATAAAGTGCCGTTCTTGCAGAGGACTGAAGGTGGGTTCCTAGCACCCGCATCCGGCATCTCATAACCACCATAGATCCCGCTTCAGGAGACCCAAGAGTACTTCTGGCCCCCAAGAGTACTACATACACCCGCATATAACATATAATAGAAAAAGAATCTTTAAAAATAAATAAAAGAAAAGAGGACCCAAGGGACTGGAAAGACAGCTCAGCCAATAAAATCTTCCATGTATCCTAGTGAGCTTGTTAATTTGATACAACAGAGTCATCTAAGAGGAAAGCTGCCTAGATCAGATTGCCTGTGGATATGTCTTCAGGTAAGCTCACTGTGGGTAACACCATCACTAGGCACGCTAGCTAATCATGAGCCTGTGAGTCAGTCAGGGAGTGAGCTGCATTCCTCTATGGTTTCTGCTTAGGCGTCTGCTCTAACTTCCCTCAACGACGGGTTGCGATCTGGAAGTGTAAGACAAACAGGAACTTTCCATCCAACTTGTTTTCAGAGTGTTTCATCATAGCAACAGGAAGGAAACGAGTGCAATCGTGAAGACTGGAGTTCAATTTCTCGCACTCACATAAAAGGCTGGGCAGAACGGCAGGCCCCTAATTCTGGCAGACCCCTAATCCCAGCACCAGGGAGGTAGAGACAGGACGATGCCTGGGGCTCATGGGCTGGACAGTCTAGCCTAAGTAGTGAGTTCTACAGAACAGTAAGAATTTATCTCAAAAAACAGGATTGATGGTGCCTGAAAAATCCACACGCAACCCCCTAAACACACACACACACACACACACACACACACACACACACACACACACACTCATGCACACAGAGGAACTTGTTATCCTACATTCTCCCATGTATTCACTTTCTCAGAGGTGAATTCTGTTTCACCTTTGGATACATCATAACTGAATACACAACTAAATATTTTAAGTGAGTTGCAGTTTTTATTATATGTACTTATATCTGGATTCTCCTTCTCTCTCCCTTCCTTTCAAGACAAGGTCTCACTGTGTAAGCCTCCCTGGGTGACCGAGAATTATTTAGACCTACTTTGGCTTCCCAAATAGTGAGATTAAAGGCAAAGTCACCATGTCCAGGTCTCATTAGTTTTTCAAAACTGGGATTTGCATTGAAGTTTCGAATTTCTATGCCTATAATGAAAACTCTGTGTTTTCCTTTTCATGTCTTCCTTTACATCACTTGGAATCTCTCTGATGGCCTAACACTTGCTAAATTTTCTCCTTATTCTGATACATTATTTTATTTTTGCAACAAGGACTTAACAATTTTTACTGCTGCCAGGCGGTGACACACACTTTTAATCCCAGCACTCAGGAGGCAGAGGCAGGTGGAATTCTGTGAGTTCAAGGTCAGCCCGTGCTACACAGAGAGGATCCTATCTTGAAGGGTGGAAGGGACAGAGGAAGAAAGGGAGGGGAGGAGACGGAGGGAAGGAGAAAGGAAAAAGGAAAGTGTCATGATAATAATACCCACCTCAATATCCTCTGAGAGGATTCTCAGCCTGAGAGTTTCTTTTAGTTCCAGGATATCCACTTCCTGTCTCCTGATCAGCTCTTTGCTCTCTTCTTTGTCAGCCACAGCAACATTGTATTTGCACTGCAGAAAATAAAGTCACTGCACAAGAGCTTTCAGCAGGATGTCTGCTCATCTGTACATCAAAGCAACTGGCTGTTTTTGTTGTTGTTTTAGGTTTTATTATTTTTATGTGTATGTATGCAAGTGTACTTGCATGCCAGCTATGTGCAGGTACCCACAGAGGGTATCAAATCCACACGGCTGAAGTGACAGGTGGTTGTGAGATGCCCAATGTGGAGGACGGGCCAGGTCTTCTGGAAGAGCAGCAGTTGCTCTTACCACTAAGCCATCTTTCCAGCCCGACAAACCGTGTTAATGAAGGAATAAGAACTAGTGCACATGGCAAGGAGAAACAGGACCGTTCTAAAGGTGTTAAAGAAAACCACCCAGCTTTGCATCTCATCAGACTGCTTGTGAAGATAAATATGGAGTGAAGCAAGTTCCTTTGGAGCAGAACAGATGCAGATGAAAACCTTCACCCTGAGCCAAGCAAAGGGAGAAGCTACTTGGGGAAACGGTATCATTGCGTTTCAGATCAGGGACACAATTCCATTTGACAAGCACCTGCAAATTTAACTAAAATGTAACTTCCTTTCTTGAGGCAAATAAGGAGCCCCACCTTAGCCTTAACTGTTACCAGCAATACCCAGTTTGTTTCTAATCAGTGGTTCCCAGCATACAAATGTTCTGTCCCGAAGCATGCCCACTGCAACCTCACAAGTTCTCTGGGTGTTAACTTCTGCAATCGAGCTTACTCTACCACAGACTGTGACTGAACTTACATTGATGTCTTGCAGTTCTTGTCTCAGGGTGTCTATGGTTTCTGCTTTCTCACCAACTGATGTTCTTAACTCCTGGATTTGGTTCATGAGATTAGTGACAAGTTCCTGAGAGGGACATGGAGATCATTTTAAACGATGAACTGCTGCAGTCTTGTCTGAGCACCTGACTGCCAGCTAGTGCTGCTATTCTGGGAGCTCACAGAGGTGAGGCTGAGCTGGAGGAAGGGGGAACTAGGGTTACAGCCAGCCCCAACTCCTACCCACGCCCTCTGTGCTTCCTAACAGGTGCCATGCAATCAGCAGCTACGAAGAGCTCCTATGAGTAAGTATAATCTTTCCTACTATAAATTTTTTGGGAGAATTGTTTGGTCACATAAATAAGAAAAGCAGCTAACACATAAACCATTTCTGTTTCCTAATGGCAACAAAGGAAGCCAATTTACTTTAGCAAAATGTTACATAATACTCTACCTTCCACAACCTTTTTTTCTTTTAAATTTTTATTTATTTATTTTTGAGGCAGGGTTTCACTATGTAGCTCAGGTTAGCTTCCAAATCTTTATGTAGCTCAGGTTGGCCTCTTAACTACTATCCTTGCCTCCGTCTCCTAAGAGCTGGTATGATAGGTGTAGACTGTTATGTTCATTTTTATATTTGGACAGACAAACCACTTTTATTATTCTGGTGAAGCCAACAATAAGGATGGAGACTATGTATCATGAACTTATAGTCAGTAAAAAAGTGTCAGTGTCACATCAGGATTCTAGCTGAAAGGACAAGGTGTGTTTCACAAGCCTCTAGAGGAACAGTGTACGCTGGACAGGCCGGCGTACACCCATAGGCTCAGTGCTAAGGAGGCAAAGACAGGTGGATCTCTGTGAGTCTGAGGCCAGTCTGGTCTATATCGTAAGTTCTAAGCCATTCAGGATTACACAGTGAGACCTTGTTTTAAAGGGAAAAAATGCCTAAAATGTACATGGACCAGTCTGTAAGTCATCCTGAGGTAAGAAAAGTTCAGGAGACAGGAATTATGTACCTGTATCCCAGATACTTAGGTAAAAGGATTGTGGTTTCAAAGCCACGTAGGGCTACACAGAGAGATCGGGGCTCTAAAACTAAACATACACCACTAACAACACCAAAAATAAACAAAATATAGAAGTATAAAACTCGAACTTTATCTACCTTGTCCGAATCTCTAGACTTTTCCAGAGAACTGATCACGTTTTCAGTAGCAAGCAAGCTTTCCTCCAGTTTCTGTACTTTTGCCATCTGTGGGGAAAGTTTTATCACACACATTTAAAAACAACAAAACAGGCTGATAATTACTTTGCACATCACAGAGTCTGCACTAACAAGAAACAAGGCCTGTGGTTTCTACTAAGTGAGCCCAGCAGCTCTCATTATAACCACCTGGGAGTCAGAAAGAGCTGGTGAGATGGGGAGTAGCTGTCCTCTGAGGTACACAGACAGACAGACCACACCGAGACAGACACAGACACAGACACAGACACAGACACACACACACACACACACACACACACACACACACACACACACAAAACGGGGTGCACAGCAATAATAAAGGAAAGTCAAAATTACTAACAGAAATAGATGTCCTACTGCATGCAAAAATCCAAGTGCTTGGAAGGCAGGGCTAGGAGGATAGGAGTTCAGGGAAGATGTGGGTTATAAAGTGCATTTCAGGGTAGCCACAGTGTGACCCTGTCTCAGAAACCAAGGGTGGCCAAGTGTGGTGACAAATGCCTTTAATTGCAGCACTCTGTGAGTTGAAGACAAGTTTGGTCTACATAGCTAGTTCCAGGCCAGTCAGGATTACAGAGATGCCCTGCCTCAGAAACAAACAACAAACAAAACAAATAAGGTCTAGGGATGTATCTCAATGGTAGAAGTCTAAGTTTAAACCTTAACAAAAAACAAAACAAAACACCCTAGTCAAAATTTTAATTAGTGATTTCTAACACTGAAAGTGGAAACACTTTCTTCTTTAGAGTTCAGAAATAAAAGCTTACCTGCTGCTCACATTTGGCCATCTCTTTCTGTTTCTCCTGACGCACAGTCTCTAGAACTTTTAAGATTTCTCTAAAGAAAAAAAATTAAGGAAACATGAACTGAGTGTGCATGCCCAGAAGAGATAAATGCCACGCAAATGAAGTCTACTAGGCAAATCCTGGGTTAGAGAGCATATCCCCACGGAGGGCAGAAAGCCGAATGTGTCTGGTAACAACTGTTTAGTAAGGAATTATTTCTGTGTCACAACTCCTTACTTCTCTTCAGTGTTTGGTATTTGATAACCCAAAACACAGGCCACAGTATTTACTGCCACCTGCTGGGACAGAAGGTGAAGTCCATGATCACAGGGATGTCTCATTCATTGTTCCACTCTGTGCAGTCTAGCACCTATGGCACAGGCCTGGCTCACTGGATATGTCTAATGCTAGTTCATCCCTACTATATCCCTACTAGGTGGCATGTTGTGCCTTCACTGTGTATCAGGGCCAAGAATAGTCATAAAGAACACTATAAATAGAAATTGAAAAATAGCTATTCTCCCTAGTGTGATCATGAGATTACTGACAGACTCACTGAAATAGAAAGAAAAAGAACTTGGAGGGAGGGAGAGACCTAATGAGAGTCTAGGGGAAAAAAAGGAAAAGTCACCCCCTACCCCCGAGAAATAAAAGGATAGTCAGAAGCCTGGTGCGGTGTGTATTAATCCCAGCACTCAGGAAGCAGAGGCAGGCAGGTGAATCTCTATGAGTTCCAGGTCATGCATGACTACATAGGGAGACCCTGTCTCAAAAAACCAAAACAAAAAAGCAATCAACCAGCCAACTCACCCCCAAAACAACAAAACAAACAAAAGGATAATTGGTCGTACAGCTCACACTGTGACTTACACACAGATCACCATCAGCTACTTGTGCAGTATCACCTCCAGTTAGCTACAGCCCCAACTGAGAAAAACTCTCCACAGGGTGTCAATAAGAAAACCACAAGCTGAAAGCTGTGCACAGTGGTGCAAGTCTCTATTTCCAGCACATGGGAGACCAGGCAGGAGGACGGCAGGTTTAAGGCCAGCCTATGCTAGACAGTGAGACCCTAAAGTCCCCCAAAGCGAGATAAAGAATGTAGTATTGAACAATATTCTAATCAATGGGAAGAATTAACAGCACTCACTTAGAGCTATTTTCTTTATCTTCTTCAAACTGTAATGATAATTTGTTGTTGCGTTCTTTTTCTGCATCAAAAAGCTCCATCAAATTCTAAAAGACAACCACAGATTAGGCTTGAAGCGGCAGCTATGAGTATCAGGCGGCTAACAAACATCAAGCGCTGTGATTGGTACAGGAAGTTAGAGGACACAGACAGGAACACAGATCCAGAACACAGCCACCAGTTACAACAATGTCCATCACTTACATGCAGATCAGACTTCAAAGTTTCATTTTCTTGTTTGCAGCTTTGGAGTTTTTTGGAAAGTTGGTCAATTTCAAATTTCATTACTTCTTGTAAGTTATCATAGGAATCCTGTAGGCAGGCTTGGCTCTTGAGAAGTTTTTCATTTTCTAATCTTTACCAGCAAGATATTTTGAAACAAAAAGTATGAACATTTGTTTCTATGAGTCAGATTTTCTCAAGTTCAAGTTTTTCTATCAGAAACCATTGACATTAAACAGAGAGCTGTCACGGTCTGGTGTGGAATGTCCTCAGTCCTCATGTGAGCACCACTACACCAGAAGACATGATGGAAAGGGGATGTCAGCCTGAAGCATCTGCTCCATATCCTTGCTCATGTGGCTAACTGGCTGGAGATTTATTAGCTGACAATTGAGGTCCACTTGAGTGTTTCTAGCCAGGCACTAGCTACTTTTAATTTTCATGATTTGTCAAAAATTCAACCCCAGCCATTTATGACAAAGTCTAGCTCTAGGAAGATGTTATAATAGAAACTATGGCTTCTTCCTAACCAAGAGAGTTTATAACCCCAAAGAAGAACTACTTGTTGCTTGTTCAGTTACACCTCCTTACTCCTTTCCCCAACACACTTCATCTTATGCAGCATCCATCAGTCACCCAAAAGAGAACCAATAATCTCATCTCTGAACTATGAAAGGCAATGTCCTGGTTGACACACAGCGAATCAGATGCAGAACCCTCTGCTGTGCACTGAAGGAGGGCAGAAGCAGCACATTACAAAGAGAATGAAGAAGCAGGCCGAGAGGGGACCTGTGCACGTATTCACGGTATAAACAATGCTGACAAGTAGGCAGTGCTGTGCTCTACCACTCAGAAGCATGAGCAGTCACTGAGTGCCGGGGAATCAGCAGTCTGGTAAATGGCTCACTGCAGAAACAGAGACACTCAGAACACCTACATTTTGACCAATATCACTAGGGTAATCACTGCTTTTAATTTAGTACAAAATGCATACATAGCTCGGTAGATTGTTTACATTTCAGATCTAGTTCTAGTCTCACAAATAAATAAAGGAAATTAAGATTTAATGAGATTAGGTCAGACATGGTGGCACATGCCTTTAATACCAGCACTCAGGAAGCAGAATGAGTTCCAGACTAGCCAAAGCTACATAGTGAGAGCTTGTCTCAGAAAAACAAGGACAGCCTGGTCTACAGAGTGAGTTTCAGGACAGCCAGGGTTGTTACAACACAGAGAAACCCTGTCTTGAACAACCTGCCCCTGCCCCCTCCCCCCACAAACTAAATTAAAAAAAATCTCAAAGCCAGTTTGTAATGAAGTCAACTGGATATAAGAAAACACAGTGTACTTGTAATACATTATTAATAAATTACAATGTTACTGGATTATGCAATGTGTGTTGGGCTTATAATACTTCAAGTAGTGTTGAGAACAACAAAGCAGGCACCGTGAACCAACAGAGAACAGGTCTACCTGGTGTTATCCAGCTGAAGCTGAACCTGCACGTGTCTTTCAGAAAGCTGGTTTAGTTCTTTCTCTTGACTCTCTTTGAACGTGCTATACTCCAGTTTCACCACGGAAAGTTCTTTGTCAGCGGAGTGAAGAACGATTCGTAGGTCATGGACCTCACATTTCAAAACTGGAAATCAAAGAAATCCAGGTCTCAACAGGTTCCTTTACCAGTCCCTTGTAAAAAGCAGGCAAATAAATCTGACCTCACCATCGCCAAGACAAGCATCGACAACTGAGCACTAAACACTAAGATCTCACTTTCCTTCCTCACCTTAGTTCATGGCTGCACCTCCATTTCTTTTACCCCAGGCTGGCCTTACTTTTACTGTGTAGCAAGGATAGCCCTGAGCTCCTCACCTTCCTGCTTCCACTTCCTGAGTACTGAAACTACAGGCATGGGGTACCACACCCAGCTGTTCCAACATTGCTGCTCAAACAGAAAAGCTTAACATCTGTTCCTCGTTTTTAGGTCACTTGACATTTTAAGAACTTTTTCTTGTAGACACGCAACAAAACTTTTAATGTAAAAAAAAACTCATATTTAACTATCTGAAGCAGTATACTCTTAGCTGTTGAAAATGCTTAGTAATATACCAGAGCTTTTCAACACTTCTAGTCTCAAAAGGAAACTCCAACTTTAACTAGAGTTACTGAAAACTACCGAAAATATTTTGGAGAAAGGGTGTCATGCATCCCAGGCCAATCTCCAATTTGCAATTTGCTGTGTCCCCAAGGATGACTTTGAACTCCTGAATCTCTTGAATTCACCTACTAAGTCCTGGATTTCCTGGTTTATCTGAAAATGCTTTGATGAAGAGAAAAAGTGAGAAAAGTGGGAGTGACACCCACACCTAGAGGTGTGTATAAACAATTCCCGCTTTACTTTGTCAGCACTGGCACTTCACAGATGTGGCCATCAGTGCTCGGGTGCTTCCCCCTTTAGTTGGAGACAGAGTCTTTCAATGGGCCAGGTTAGCTGCCCAGAGAGCTGAGATCTGCTGTCTTGCCCTCCATCTTGACATCACTGGGATAACAGATGCCCAGCTCTTCATGTGGGTTCTAGGTTCTGAATTCAGGTCCTCAAACTTGTGAGGCAATGGAGCCACCTCCCAGCTCTTAGATAAACTTAAGTAAACACTTGCAACATTTATTTGTGAGTAATCTTGAAGAAAGTTATGTCTTATAACCTATTTTATTTATTATACCTTTACCATGAAAATTCAAGATAAATTATCTAACAACAAAATAAGCAACCCCTTAGAATAGAAAAAAAAGTTCATTTAAATGATCAAAAAAAGATACTGAGCTAGTGCCTCACTGCCCAGACTTACAGTCGTTCTTAGTGTGGGTATCCTGAAGCTGTTTTTCAAGGTCATTCAATTGTGTAAGATAGTCTTGTTGCTGTTTGGTCCAATCACTTCTTTCTGATGAAAAGAGCTTTGGGAAAAAAGTGAATATCCTGGAAAAGTATGCTAAAGCTGGATTTAAGGTATTTAATGTTTAGCTTTAAAGTCAATGACAAAACAAGGTGAACGATAATGAAATGACCAACACAATCCAAGATCAGCATAAGATGTGGACAGACCCGTTCTGATGTCTTTAAACAAACCGTCCACTTGTATACTTTACTAAGCAGTACAAAACTCAGACAATGAATGTCTGTCTCTCTAGCAGAGAGGTTCAGAAAGTAAGGGAATTTTTACCTGGCAGTGTTGTTTTGGAGGGCAAATGGGGTCTGAATAAATATAAATTTACTAAGGAAAAATGAAAAGAACTCCAAAGGTGAGGAGGCTGCACTCCGACCCTCACCTCCTGCATTTGTGTAGAGTGGTGCTCCAGTTTGTCAACAGTCTGCTGAAGCTTCAGGTTTTTATGCTCTTCTTCGTCCAGCTTGACTTGAAGAGCGCTCAGCTGCTCCTGCACCAATACACTTCAGTCACCAAAAAGGCCTTTCATAGAATTTAAAAAACTATTAACTTTATAAAAGTTTTAGGGACAGGTGTTTTGCGTGAATGTACATCTGAGTATCAAGTGCGTGCCCAGGGCCCATGGGTGCAGAAGAGGGAGCTGGAGCAGCCGCAGCTCGAATATCAGGAAGCTGCAGGGTGGGTGCTGGGAATTGACCCTAAGTCCTCTAAAAAGCAGCCTAACTGCTGAGAGAACTCTCCTGCCCTATTTCTTTTTGATTAAAGAAACAAGAAACCAAAGCAAAATAAACTCAAACCCTTACAGAAGCAAACACAGCAAAGGACTGCTGGAGACAGAGATCTTCACCGGCTACTGATTATACCTGCTTCAAAATTACGTTGCAATGATCAAAATGGTAAACTCAAACACAAAGAAAAGTAGCTAATATTCAACCCTGAATTAAATTACAGAGCCCTAGCTAGCTATGCAGAGTATGCATTTAATCACAGTACCAGGGAGAGGCAGTCAGATCTCTGAATTCAAGGTCAGTCTGAACAGAGAAACCATGTCTTGAACCCCCCAAAATATATAAACAATAAACAAACAAATAAATAAAAGCGTTGGATAGATGGCTTGGTTGGTAATTATATATGTATACTATATATATATATATATATGTATATAAAATGTATGAATGAAATAAATTATAAAGGCCTCTACATAACTTTTTAAACTTCAGACTTAATCAATGAGCCCCCTAGAGACTTTTTTAATAATTCTTTTATGAAAACCAATTTATTTTAATTTTATGTGAATTGGTGTTTTGCTTACATGTATGTCTAAGAGAGGACATAAGGTTCCAGAACTGAAATAACAGTGACCTGCCATATGGGTGCTGGGAACAGAGTCCAGGTAGGCTGGAAGAGAAGTCAGTGCTCTTACCCACTGAGCCATCTCTCCAGCCCCCCTCTAGAGTCTTTTAAGAAGCTTCCTCGGGCTTATTTCATCACAAAGGCCTCTGTGGCCTGTAACAGGAAAAAACAAAATTCAGATTTGGGATATCTATTTCAAGTTTTCCTGGACAAAGGGGTGAAATTTAATTAACAAACTAGTAGGATCCCAACATAATCGTGTCTCACATTATTTCAAGTACATTAAAACCTCCCTAAAATCTGATCTATATAACAATTTGTCCAAGAATAAGAAATAAGCTGAGCCGTGATGGCGCACACCTTTAATCCCAGCACTCTAGAGGCAGAGGCAGGTGGATCTCTGTGAGTCTGAGGCCAGCCTGATCTAAAGAACAAGTTCCAGGACAGGCTCCAAAGCTACAGATAAATCCTGTCTTGAAAAACCAAAAAGAAAAAGAAGGGAAAAATAAATAAATAAAAAAGAACTAAAAAAAAAAAAATCAGAACAGAAAGTTTTATATATGCAAACACAAAAATTAAAAGGAATTGTTGGGCAGTGGTAGTGCACACTTTTTAATCCCAGCACTCAAGAGGCAGAGGCAGGTGGATCTCTGTGTGTTTGAGGACAGCCTGGCCTACAGAGCTAGTTCCAGGACAGTCAGGACTGCTATGTATGGAAACCTATCTCGAAAAGCAAAACAAAAAATTATAGGGACTTTATTTAAATGAACATTCAGTTAATTTTTCCTAAAATTAAAGTATTACCTGCGCAGTCCGAAGCTCCTCAGAAATGGCCTCCAAAGCTTGTTCACTCATCTCAGGCGGCACTGGCTCATTTAATATATCGTTGTCTGAACTGCTGGAGTTCTGTGTGCACAGGAAGCCGAAGTTCCCCACCTCAGGGCTTGATTTTGTGGCCAATTTTGAATAGTGTGAATAAGCCTTCGTTGGAGTGGTAATTGTCTGCAAAACAATCATTGTGGAAAGAATCATTAATATGAAGGAAAATATCTAGAGATTTTATGAATAGAAAAAAATTAAAGTTTTATTCATCAATTTATCAAAAAAGATGCATTCTTGAAGCACTGGGTAGAAATGACCAAATGGAAATAAACCCATCAGTCAATATAGTTGCATGCAAATAAAGTTCAAAAAATGGAACTTGAAGCTGGGCATGGTTATGTATGACTGTAATATCAGGATTTGTGGTGCTTGCCTCTGCATCCTACTAAGGGCCTGCGCTGCCATGCCTGGCCTAAGACACATCTTTGAGTGTTACAAAAAGCAAATTAAATTGCAAAGCTGGGCATGGTGGCACATGCCTGTAAGACAGTAGTTACTCATAGGGGTAGAGACAGGAGAATCAAAAGTTCAAGGCCAACCTAGGTTACAGAGTGAGTTTGAAGACAGCCTAAGCTATCATGAGATCCTGCCTCAAAAAGAACAAAAATAGAACGAAAGAAAGAAAGGCAGACAAGGAGAGAGAGAGAGAAAGGTGCAGATGTTAGGAAACAAGTCTAAAGTCGAATTTGATCTCAAATGTTTTATTCCTCCTCCTTGACCTTGTCACTAGAGTCTAACATTGGGGTGTTCTGCAATCTGTGTTTAGAAATAACCTTTATTAATAAAAGAGACGAGTCTAGTTTAAACAGAAGCATCAATTACTCACCTTAAGTGTTTCAGCATGAATTCTATTCAACTGGGAAACTTCCTGGCGCTTGCAGGCTTTCGTTGCTTCCAAAAGGTTTTCAAGATTGAGGTTTGCTTTTTGTAAAGACTGAAGCTCAGATTCCAGTTCCACCTGCTTTTTCCTAATAGATGTTGTTAAGACTTATTAGTTCCTTCAGATAATCAATAATGTCAAACCTTTCTTTTTAATTTTTTTTTTTTTTTTTTTTGAGACAGGGTTTCTCTATATAACAGTCCTGGCTGTCCTGGAACTACTCTGTAGACCAGGCTGGCCTCGAACTCACTGAGATCCACCTGCCTCTGCCTCCCGAGTGCTGGGATTAAAGGCGTGCGCCACCCCTGCCCAGTGACAAACATCTTTAAGTACATTGCAGTCTATGCTCTCGTAGGTCTCACGTTCATGTCAGGATACTGTTACTTTCACAATTAACACTTTACTTTTCTATATTTTAGGCTAGGATTACCTTTGGTTATAGTATCAACATAGTTTATCCTTTTATATAATGTGAATCAAATAAAGAGTATTAATAAATCTATAATTTCTAAAAGGAATGTCAATTTCGTGTGTAGCTGTGATTTAAATTTGGTAATGAGATGAATGTACTCTAAAGTTCAGCTGACACTCCAGGTGAGCACTGCTCAAAACACTTGCACGACCATCAACACACAGCAAAGAGCTACCAGAAAACGTACTTCTTCAAATTAGTTGCTAAAAGTTTCATATGTAAAGTATCATGCCAAATTATTGGTTATTAATAGAAAGTATTAAGAAAACGGGGGATGAGCGTGTGTGCTTGCACTTTACCGGGTTAGCTCTTTGAACTCTTCATATTCTTGCTTTGAGTTATTTAGCTCTGTCTGAATTTGCAGGAGCTGTGCTTTTAACTTCTCCGTGTTTACGAAGAAAGTTGGTTCTTTCAGTGCTTTGGGAGAAAATCCTTGCAGACCTGCTAAGAAGGAAACCACTTCAGTCTTTGAAAGACAGAAAATAAGAAAACATTTTTCTACAGTCTCTTCCAGGTCTGCTTTGAGGCACAAGGATAAACAAGAAATGGATTGGAAGGTGTGTCCTAGAAATGTGAGAACTCAGATGTAAGCAGGAGGCACAGGATGCGGCAGTGTACCCACAGGGGCACTACAAGTTAAGTCCAAGATTCAGAAACCACAGGACGGAGAAGTGTAATGAAGGCGACAAGCTATTCCCTAGGACAAAGGGCTAACAGTGACTAAAGAAAAACATGTTCGTGCAGACAGAGAAACACAGCACAGCTGAGCTTGTAAGAAACGGTGCTGCTGGCCACTGTGAACAGGCAATGATTTAGAAGAGAAAATGGTAACAAGGATAATCCTTACTTTGCATATAAAATCTTGAGTTTCTCCACATGCAAATAATTGTGAATCTTCTTTGACTAAGTTATAGCTGAGTAACAAAAGACTTAGACAAGGGAAATGTAAAAAGCAAGATGAAAAAAACCAAACCAAACAAGCAAAGGAGCTGGGCAGCAGGAGCACACACATTTAAACCCAGCACTCAGACACAGAGGAAGGCAGATCTCTGAGTTCAAGGCTAGCCTGATCTATAGAGTGTGTTCCAGGACAGCTACAGACACACAGAGAAACCCTGTCTCAAAAAGTCTACAGTAGATAAAGAGACAGATGATAGAGAGATAAAATGAAAAGCAAGAGAAGCGATTGGGGATAGAGCTCCATCAGTGGCATTTTTTTTCTTTTTGGTTTGTTTTCTGTGGTGGGAGTGGGTCTTACTTCATAGCCCAGGTTAGCCTAGAACTTACTATCCCCTAGCCTCAGTCTCCTGAGTGCTTGGATTCCAGGTGTGTATCACCTGCACACTCTGCTATAAATCTTCTTTCCTCTTTCTCTGTCTTTGTGTGTGTGAGCCATGTGCAGACCAGAAATCAGCCTCAAGTGTTTTCCCTCAGGAGCCATCCACCTTTTCTTCTTCTAAAAGGTGGTCTCTAAATGGCTTAGCAGTTTCCCTAATAGGCTAGGCTGGCTAACCAGAGAATCCCAGTTCTCTCCTCATGTTAATACAGCAAACACCTTACTGACATTATCTTTCCAGTCCCATAGATTCTTCAGTTGTTTTTTTAAATCCTATGTGCATGTGTGTTTTTCTTGTATGTGTGTCTGTGCACCACATGTATGTCTGGTGTCCATGGAAGTCAGAAGAGAGCATCAGATTCTCTGTAAGAATGAAGGCTAAGGGCTGAAGAAATGGCTCAGTGGTTAAGAGCACTGACTGCTCTTCCAGAGGACCTGGGTTCAATTCTTAGCACCCACATGGCAGCTCACAACTGTCTGAAGATCCAGTTCCAGGGGATCTGACACCTTCATACCAATGCACATGAAATAAAGATAAATAAATCATAAAAAAAAAATTAAAAAAAAAAAAAAGAATGAAGGCTAAGCTCCCACATGGGTACGTGGAATTGAACTTGGGTCCTTTGGAAGAGCAGCCAGTGCTCCAGCCACTGAAGTCCCTGCTCCATAGCCCCTTCTCACATCACTTCTTACCTTTGTCATTTTTCTCTTTGCTAGACACTTCAGAAAAAGCCTTTTCTAGTCTTGCAATAGACTGGGCATCTATTTCGTGGGCTCTTTTCACAGGCTCTAATAATTTCAGTCTTCTATTCTCTTCCCTGAGGGAATGATTTTCCATAGCATACTTTGCAACTCTGGGGTGGTGCTCCACCTGTGACATTGAGAAATTACACACATCATGTGTTCACAAAATGATCTAAAGAACTTGTCTCTCTAAAAGCCATTCATAGCCTAGCATGCGAAAGGCTCTGGGTTGATCTCCAACACAGAAAAATCAATAAATAAAAAGAGTAAGGGGGTAGAGAGATGTCTCAGCAGTTAAAAACACTGACTGCTTTTTCAGAGGACCTGGGTTTAACTTACAGTACCCACATGGCTGTAATTCCAGTTCCAAGATAGGCAACACCCTCTGCTGGCTTCCTCGGGAACCATGGAAGCACATAGTACACAGACATATATGCAAGCAAAACACCCATACACATAAAATACAATAAATACATTTTTAAAAAGAGGGGGGGAGAATATGGAAAATTCATGTCTATTAAGATTAAATTGCCTTCCAAAATACATTAACTAGCAAAGTGCAGGAAAGCATATAAAAAATGGAAGTAAAAATATTTATCCATTGATTGGACATGGATTAAATATATTGGACACAAAAAATTTATTTTGGTTTTCAAACTGGGTGCCTCATGAAACTCATCCTCTCTAGAGAAAAGAAGACCCCTGAAAGGCTCAGCTCCGCGGAGGCTGGGGTAATGACAGGGCACAAGGCACTGCCTTTCCTTCTGTCTTCAGCTGCAAACTTGGAAAAGGGAGAGGAAATTATGCAGCTCCCATTGCCTGTCAAATGCACTGCATTAAAGAACGAGCTGCTGGTGAAGACTTCATGCGTGCCGTGGAGCTCCTCCCTAGAAATGTGGCCAGGGCTTGCACTCACTTGTTCTCGCAGAGTCTGGATCTCGTCCCGCAGCTCCGACAACAGACGGTCCTGCTCCTCAGGCAGGAAGCGCCCCCGGGCCTCCTTCTGCAGCCTCTCCAGACGCATTATCTGGTCCTCGCGGAACTTCACGATCATTTTATTAGACTGAATAAACTTTTCCTTTTTGAGGGTGAGGTCTTCTAGTTGGGTAATTTTTTCTGCCAGAGACTGAAAAAAATTCATGATTCAACTAAACATGAAAATTAATTTAGTTTTCCTATTCTCATGAACCCAGCAGAGAGCACCAACTCCAAACTCAAAGGCAAGAAGCCTTTTCCTTCGCATCTGGTGCTATGCACGTCACTCCCTGAAATAATGAAAACCAACCACAACAGCAAAGTCCAAAATGTCCCGAATCTCTTTCTTTCTCTTTCCTACCTTCTTTTCCTGCTCAGATTTCTTAAAGAACAGCATTGCTTCCAGGAAATGTTCTATGTAGTTAGTCTTCTCTTTGTCTAAAAAGGGAAAATAAGAAACATGTTCATTTGTCAAAACTAAGTATTTCTGCCAACTCTCACTGGTGACCAGTTTCATGCTAACTCTCTCAGCAAACAGGCTGTTCTACAAAGAAAACACGTTTCTCTTTGTTTACTTAGCACAAATACATGTGCTGAAAGAAATGAAAGTGGGTTGTTTTAAAAACTGTCGCCTGGGTTGGCCTTGAACTCCTGGCAATCCTGCCTTAGCCTCTCAAATGCTGGAATTATAGGCATGAGCCACCAGAGTTTGCTTAGAGATGAGTCTATAAGGAACCTGGAGGAGAACCACGTGTGTCTCTAGCCTAATGCAAACTCTTATTTATTTATTGTCTTTGTCTGTAGCTCTGTAGTAGGGGCTGCCCTAAAACTCATTCTGTAACCTAGGCTAGTCTAAATCTAATCATCCTGCCTCAGCTCCCTGAGATCTGGGAATCAGATGCACAGACTATGCTTATATTCTTATACCAATGCATACTCTATATTCTTATACCAACACATGCTCTATATTACACCAATGCATGCTCTATATTATTACACCAATGCATACTCTATATTCTTATACCAACGCATACTCTATATTCTTATACCAACGCATACTCTATATTCTTATACCAACACATGCTCTATATTATTACACCAATGCATACTCTATATTGTTATACCAACGCATACTCTATATTATTATTATACCAACGCATACTCTATATTATTACACCAATGCATACTCTATATTATTATACTAATGCATGCTCTTTATTTTTTGCTTTCTGGTTTTGTCTTATAAAGTACTGAAAATCAAGCCTAGGGCCTCACACACGCCTAGAAAGTGTTCTACTCTCAAAACATATTCCCAGCCCCAGATATTTTTTCTTACAGTTTAATAGATCTCAACTTAATTCTACTAGCTATTATTTTTGGTTGTAATGTCTTTTTTGTTTTTTCAAGACAGGGTCTCTCTGTGCGGTTTTGGCTGTGCTGGAACCCAGAGATCTGCCTGCCTCTGCCTCCTGAGTGCTGGGATTAAAGGAGGGTACCACCACCACCTGGCCACTACTAGCTATTCTTTAAAGAAACATTTCCTGTTCCAATCAATAGACGTATGTTGTATATGCTCAGACAGAATCTTGGGAGTAATCGAATGAAATCAGTTAAACAGGAAAAATAATTCAGTTTTCCTAAATTCTCATAATCTAAGCGCATCTCTTTCCAGTACTTATTAGGGATGAATTACTCAAAATCATTGATTCCCCTTCTTACTGGACCTCACAAAACATCTAGTTCAAAGAACTATCCTCCTACATGGGTAAAATATGGAGGAGAGTATGTGAGAAAATCAGGAAAGCCTCACTATACTTTGACCACCTATCTAACAGCAGAAGTTCTTGGCCTAACATTCCCATCAAGTCTTTCCCAGGATAAGGGCAATGAGCTCATCCTACCTCTGGTCAATAAGCTTTCTGGTATGATCTGCCCAGCAGTAAACTGAGAAAGCTGTTCCTTGAGCCTCTTCACTTCAGCTTGCAGCTGGCTGACATTTCCTTGGGTGTCTTCATTCACCACAGCCTGGACAAAAATTAGCAAAGCACTGAAAGACCATGTTTCAAGTTGTACAATCCTGTTTATTTGTTCAGTATGAGTTGGAGTTAGGAAGACCAAAAAAAACTGCACATCTGTCTTGCCAACAGTCAAATGGTATGTTAAAATGGGAAGTTCTGTATGTGTGTGTGTGTGTGTGTGTGTGTGTGTGTGTGTATACATGTGTATGTGTGTGTGTGTATATGTGTGTGTGTGTGTGTGTGTGTGTGTGTGTGTGTGTGTATATAAAAAACAGTCAGAGCCCAAGGAGCACAGCTGGGCTCTCCTCCTCTTGCCAGCCACTCCTCTCCAGGCTCCCAGTGACCCTGTCAGTCTCATCAGTCCTCGGCCATCTTAGGCCGGTCACCTTCGGATTTGAATGTATTGCCCTGACTTAAGAACCCTGCCTTCCCTTTTAAACAACAGAATCAAATATCTCAGCAGCCTTTGGTGACAGAATCTGGCCTAGAAGGGCATGATCAGCAACAGAACTAACTGAGCAGAATCTGCCCTCTCCAGAGCGAGCTACTGTTTCTAAGCTGGCATGGAACTAGGAATGGGGTTGGCTTCACAGTCCGCTCCTGTCCGACCACCTTTCAGTGTCACTTTCACTTCCTTACAGTAAAGTCCTGCTTTAAATGACCTCTGAAAGGTCAAAACCAGTTACAGTTAAATGTCATCCCCGTGGTGACTAAATGGCGTCTTCAACTTCTTAAAGAAGTCTTGCTTATGACAACCTCTAAAAAAGTTATAGAAAAAATAAATTAAAAAAAAAAAAGCTACCAGCAAATGCATCACTCTGGTGTGGGATGTCAGTCGTGGGGAGGTCACATGTGTGGGACAGGGACAAATACAGAATTGTTCTGTGCTTTCTGTTCAGTTCTACTGTAAATCTAAAGCTTCTTCAAAAGTAAAGTGTATTGCCAGGCAGTTGTGGCCCACACCGTTAGTCCCAGCACTCAGGAGGTAGGGCGGATGGATCTCTGAGTTTGAGGCCAGCCAGGTCTACAGAGTGAGTTCCAGGACAGACGTGGCTGTTACACAGAGAAACCCTGTCTTAAAAACCAACCAAACAAACATAGTAAATCTTATTAATTAGATAAAATTTTTAAAAAAATTGACAAAACTGAAGGATAATAACAAATGCCACCAGCTAACTGCCAGACAGACCAGAGGCCTAGCTATGAAACACTCAACTATTTCAGCAAGGAAAACCACCCTGTAACAGCCCAAATCCCGAGTTCTTGTATTAAGCTCACCCTGCCCACCTGGAGAGACGGAAACATTGCATCATTAAACCAGCTCCAGCCACCTTAGCACTTCCCACTGACAGGCTGAAGAGGACTCACCATTGGGAGCAACTACTACAAAGCTGCTGGTCTTGTTGTTCATGCTTAGAAGTCATTTCCAAATGCTTCTGATTCATATAGCCAGCCTCATTATGAGGCATTATGACATCACTATTGTATCAGTGACATCATAACTACAATCATTAACACGGTTCTACTCTGATAAGACTTCTGGTAAGCCAAGACAGAGTCAGGAAGTTCTGCTGATGTTTTCTCTTCATATTGCTCACATTCACATTAAACGGGATGATGCCCAAAGAAATAAAGTAAAAGACAAGACCTGTGCTCTTCTCACTTTCCCAGGGGAAGGAGTACAGGTCTGCTTCCCTCTGCTAGATGACCTGGGGGTGTGATGCCCAATTATCTCCTTGGAAAAGGAGGGAATTAAACATACCAATTCATGGCACAGATATTTTGTCTGAAACCAAAGGAGTGTTCAACTCTCCAAAATAATTAGGTATCTCATTGGTCTTTTGACAGTTTGTACTAAGTATTGGTAAAGCACTATCCACAGACAAGATATGGACTGTTGTATCTTTGTGTGCCAAGCTGTGGTGGGACACAGCAACCACCATGTTTACATACTATCTGTTTAAGGCTGCTTCCTTACTGCAAAGGCAGAGCTGAGTAGTTGGTACAAGCAAAAGAAGTTTATCACCTTGTAGTTTACAAGAAAAGCTTCCTGACTGAGGAGTATACCAATATTAAAAGACTTTTTTTTTTTCAGTTTTACGTGCATTGTTGTTTTGTCTGCATGGATGTCTGGGTGAGAGTGTCAGATCTTGGAGTTAAGACAGTTTTGAGCTGCCATGTGGGTACTGGGAATTGAATCTCTTTACAAGAACAGCCAGTATTCTTAACCATTGAGCCATCACTAAAGACACTCTTGTATGTATGTGTGTGTGTGTGTGTGTGTGTGTGTGCATGTGTATACAAGAATATGTGAAGATGTACACAACTTAAAAGGCAAATGTCATTATTATCATACATTACTCTTTGCTACCACATACATCACACATGGGCACGGGGCAGGCACATGCATGCAAACCCGTGTGCATGCACCATCACATGCACCAACTCTGCTAGCATGGATTAGGCTAATTACTCTCTCCATCCCAACAACAAAAGGAAAACTGCATCAAGAAAAAAGGAAAAGAAGGGAGGGAAGGAAGAAGAGCAAACTTGTACAACCAAGATGAACTTCTATAGAAGTAAGATTAGTGGTAACATTGGGTAATCACAAAAAGGTATATGCAAATATTTTTCTAATTTACTTGATATATTAAATACTCCAGTAATTTACCTTGTTTTTAATCAGCTTGGCCCTTTGAGCAAAATTAAGTGTTGACAGTGTTTCCCCAAAACACCTGGATCCTGGATGAACATTTGCAATTATGGATGTTTTGGCATTACCACCAAGCGAATCCTGTTTAACGACATCAATGGTATATGTTTTAGATTGTAAATCCTAAGGTCTTTTTCAAAAAATAATAAAGACTAAGAAAATCTCTCCCATCAGTTCCACTGGGCATAATGCTAGTGGCAGGAGTCAGTGATCGGCTTTACCCGAAGTAAGAAGGTAAGTTTGGAGTCTCTGTAGCAGACATGCCTCTGTTTTCCATTGCCCACGTCAACAAGTGCAGTGATGACCTGGCCCAGGCAGCTCAGCGATCGGTTTATGTTACCTGCCTCCTGAGGAAGTAGGGGAAAAGCAAAAATACAGGTGCAATGTCACTCTTCAGCGTTCTGCGCTAATATCTAAGTAGCAAGGCGACAACCTGGGGTGGAAAAGCAAAAGAGGGGAAAAGAAAAAACTTCTAAACTAAAACAATATGCTCAACTATCCCTGTTTCCTAGTTCATGTACACTGTAACTGCAGAAGGCTACAATTTATAAATGCACTAGACTTGGGATTTGAATTTTTATTTCTCCCAGCGAATAAAATGTGATAAAACATTCTCTCATTACTTTTCCGCAGCAGTGAGCTGCAGCTCCAGACCACATGAGACATTGCTGAGTTGGCATGTTTAGAAGGTTAGATTTGTTGAATATACTTCTAATTTAGGATGTGTCATCTTAACCAAGTTTCTTTGGAGGTAATATCACTATAAATCTAGAAGTACCTCTATAAACATGTTCCTTTCTTGACACGAGCCTTTTGCTGACTGCAAGCTCAGTAGGCTCAGATTCCTTAGATTCCATTCCTAAACAACATCACACTCACAATACTCGTCACACTGAATTTCTGTCCCACTGCCACACAGCTCTGGCTGGGTATGTTCCCACCCCAAAGATTACAGATGACTGCTTTCCCCAATTCTGGCCATAAAGACTTAAAAATGGATCTAAGTGGTTATAAAACAAGCTTTCTACATAAAGCTACCTACGCATTTGCTCTAAACTTTTAAAATGTTTTCCAGGGTTTAAAAGGCGGAGCATGAACTTGGCCTGGCACTCCTGGTCCTGATGACCTGGGCTCTCTTGCTCTATAGTTGATCTATTCACTGATACACACTGAAATACCCAATGCACATTTACTCTGCAAGGCCCAGCAAACCTCGTGTTCCCCGCTCCCCCTCCTCAAACAGAACCCTGGTTTCTGAGACAACGACCCAGAAGCCACTTCTTTTCCAGATGTCCTCCCAGGAGTCACTCACACCATCCTTCTCCTGCCCCCTTCTGGCCAGAAGCAGTCACTGTTGTCCTGACGACCTGTCCTATCTCATTTCAGTTTACTGTCACGACCTCATAAAACCGTTGCTCCTGTGAGCAGGGACAATTCTTATTTCTTCTGAGGTCTTCACTATACTTTGTGTGGGACTGCTTTTTAGTAAGAATTCACAGTTAAATATGAAGGTTGTCCTTTCATTCCCACCTTCAACCTCATCCCTTCTGCATGGGTATCTTTCTGTCTCTCAGACCCTGCTAAGTCCACCAGGTTGAGGAGGGAGGTCCGAATGTTCACAGTTTCACTGCTTTTCTCCATTGATTCTATTGTGATTGTAAAGACTGCATGAGACCTAGAGGATTCTCTGTTCATGGATGTCGACGCTACACGCCTGTTCCTCCATCCTCTAGATAAGACCTAGGGAAGAAGGAAAATATATTACCGAAGACGAACTGAAAATATAAAATAAGCACTTAATAATCTCTCTTTGTAATATGAAAAATAATAACATATAGGTCATTATCCACATTCACAACACAGTAATTTCCTTTTGGAACAGGAGTGGGAACACTCACAGACTTTGCACAGTTATCTAGTTTTGTCAGAATTCATATTATCACAAGTTCTAAGTAGCATATACTTAACACGAAGATCGGTAGGAGAGCTGTAGGAATGGTGAGAAGGCTACTGCCCATCACCATTGTACATTATATATTATACACACACACACATACACATGACTCTATATATGTGTATTTATATAATACATGTTTATATATATATAAACACTGTATACATACATATATATATATAAACATTAACACAGTACTTGGCATAAAATACAATAAATGCAAGTTCTTAAAAAATATTAAGAAAAAGTATAAAACTGAAATTATTTGTAGCTTTAATAGTTCTTCAACAGTACTTTATGTTCCCTTCTCATAGAATTAAATAAAAATAAATATATTTAATATTAGGTTAGCTGTATATTGGCAGAGCTTTAAAAAAAGATGCCTTGCCTTTAATCCCAGTACTCAGGAAGCAGAGGCAGATGGATCTCTGTGAGTTAAGAGGTCAGCCTACAGAGTGAGGAAGGACAGTCAGGGCAATTACACAGAGAAACCCTGTCTCAAAAAAAAAAACAAAGCAAAACAAACAAACAAAAAAGATATCTCTCAAACACAGGACAGATCCCAAAAGCAATAAAAGCACATTTGCTTGAATACTTAACTCTTAAAAAAAAAATTACAGTTGACTTTTTTATGTTAACTTTAAAAATTAGACATACAGGCCCAGAACCAGGGTTAAGTGTGGGCCCAGGGCTACAGGATCTCCACAACACATCCAGGAAGAGTGGTAATACACAGATTAATAGAAATGGGTTAATTTAAGGTGTAAGCATTAGTTAATAAGAAGCCTGAGCTAATAGGCCAGCCAAACAGTATTGTAATTAATATAGTTTCTGTGTTATTATTTGGGTCTGCGCGGCCGGGAAACGAAAGAACAGTCTCCGACTACACATTCTTTTCCCTTTACTTCTCAGAAGAGTTTGTGCTATGCCCTTATGAAATTCAATTCTTGATTCTTTGAAGATGAGGGCACTTTCAAGATATGTACTGCCTAAGCATCAAGCACGTCCTCGTCAGGGCAGGGTACCTGATAGGCCTCAGCAGCCGAGGTCACCACCTGCTCCACGGCACCGACCACAAAGACGCCCTTCTTTATGTGCTCCCTCAAGTACAGTCCAGCTGAGGCCGAGTCCAGCAGGTCATAGATCTGCTCATTGTAGACCTCAATAAAGGAGCACTTACACAGGAACGTCTTCCCAGTGCCAGCCTGAGGAATAAAAGCTCAATCAGCACATGCTTCACACGTTCACCCTCAGTTTCCATGAGCTACCACAGGTATGTTTTCCTATTGTCCTTTATACAAAGTAAAACATTGAGAGCTAAGTGAAAATAATCTGGAAAACTAATTTCAAAACAATAGTTAACTTTTAAGCATCATCACTGCAGTCCCAGAAGTCCAGTTTGGAGAGGTAGCATGGAGCCTGCTCGTGGACACGGGAACTGAGCAGCTCAAATGGGTTTCCACTGTCTTCCATAGTGAACTTCCTCCTAGTTTTGTCTACTAACATGTATTTATTGTGCTTGTATGTATAGGCATGTACGTGTAGATCAGAGGACAACTTCTGGTCCCAGGGACCAAACTTGAGCCATTAGGCTTGGTGACAACTGTCTTTCGCTGGACCACATCATCAGCCCCAGATAAAGTTTTACTTGAAGTAAGATTTATGTTCTTTAAAAGACTGAAATTAATTCATCCTGAAAAATTTTGGGGTTGGAGAGATGGCTCAGTAACCGGTTAAAAGCACTTGCAGCTCTTATATAATACTTAGGCTTGACCCAACATGATCTTCTGGCCTCAGGCACCAGGCTTGCCTGTGGTACACAAGACATACATACCAACAAGACATATGATATTCATAAAAATAATTTTTTAAAAAATGTAACCATAGAAACACACGGTGTTAAAATTAATTATTTTACTGTCATGCAATTTATATGTTTAATTGCAATGTTAGGGATATTTTTGCAAATAAATAAATAGTAAATCAATGCTACTTACCAATTTCCTTGGTACACAAATATACAAAGTACTCAATACCAAGGATTCTTAACTCTGGAATCTACCAAGCTAAGTAAGTGCAACCATGAGAATGGTCCAACCTAGGAACCAATGAGAAGGAAAAGATGATATTCTCAGATGATGGAGTTCTAATCCATAAAGAACAAGATGACAGTGAGGTGAAAGCAAGTACTGCCAATAAAGGAGGATGGGTCCACCATTAATGTAAATCATGAGGACTTACACACACCTTTAAGCCTGGATATGGCTAGATGATGGGACTTTTAGTGTATCTTGAGTTATTAGTTGCTTTATGACTGCTGTGATAAAACACCCAAACCAAGACAGCTTACAGAAGTTAGAGCTTCCACGGGGACAGCGTCCTTGACAGCAGGAAGAAGGGAGCTGTGAGGAACAACTGGCAGAGGAACCAGAAGCTAAGGGCTCAAATCTCAAAACACAAGCAAGAAGTAGAGAGAGTGAACTTGAAATGGTGTTGAGACTTTCTTCAAATCCCACTTCCAATGACATACTCCTTAACAAGGTCCTACTTCCTCAGACTCCCAAAAAGCGCAACCAAGTAGAGACCAAGAATTTAAATGCTTGAGACTATGGGGGGTATTTCTCAATTAAATCACAGCACTTTATTTTCCTTGATTGAGATCTGCTATACACTTTTCTCCCATAAAAAGCTCTAAGAGCGCCAGAAGCAATCAGTTCTTTTGTGTATGCTGTCAATCAGGCTAGCCTTGAACACTCTACATTGATTAGGATGGCTTTGAACTTCTGATGACCTTGAAATTCTGATCTTCCTGCTTCTACCTCCAGAATGATGGGATTACAGGTGTCCACCAATGCACTCAGCTTTTCCAGTGTTGGGAATCAAACCCAGGGCCTACTGCATTCTAGGCAAGCTCTCTATCCACATTTTATTTTTTCATTCCAATTTTTTTGTTTTTAAATTATTGGTATGGGTGCTTTGCCTACATGTATGTCTGTGCACCATGTGTATGCCCGGTACCCACAGAGGCTAGAAGAAGGCATCAGATCCCCTGGAGTTACAGAGCTGTGAACTGCCATGTGGATGCTGGGAATTGAATGCGGGTCCTCTAGAAGACCAGCCAGTGGCTCTTTATGGCTGAGCTATCTCTCCAGCCTCCCAACATTTAATTTTTACAGTAAGCTTTACCTTTTCTTTTTCACGATCAATTAAGGAAAACAAATATTCAAAACTTCGTGGGATTACTCCTCTCAGATTATGCGAAAAATTATCAGAGTCTGATGGTCCTGAGAAAAAAGAATAAAACAAAGGCAATATCAAAAATTGGTTTATACAGAAATAAAATGATACTCAGTATAATCAACTTCCTAGTTCTGGTTCAAGCAAGTTACATTTACATCTGTGACAGACTAAATAATAAAACTGCCCCTTAGTGAGACTGAAGGGAAGGCCCACAGTAGTCACCAATCAATTCTAAAAATTGTGTGATCTATCCCCATGCTAAGCCTCACATCTTCCAAGTGTCAGGGACTGAGTGGCTGTACTCTGTTGACTCTATTTAAACAGGTGACCTTTGTGTTCACAGACTGATTGGTGGCTTGAATGATAATTGTCCCCATAGGCACCTACATTTGCTGGATTTGCAGTTAGTGGAACTGTTTGAAAAGGATTAGGAGGTGTGGCCTTATTGGAGGAGCTGTGTTACTGGTGATAGGCTTTGAAGTTTCAAAAGCTCACACCACTATTAGTTAACTAACTCTCTAGGCCTCCTGCTTCTGGATCAGACATGAGCTCTCAGCTACTGTCTGCCTGCTGCCATGTTCCTCGCCATGATAGTCATGGACTCACCTTCTTAAACTGTAAGTTGTGATTAATGCTTTTTCTGTAAGTTGCCTTGGTCATGATGTCCTGTCACAGCTAGAGAAAAGAAACTAAGACGCAGACTGTTCTGTTCTCTAAGCCACAAACCCACACTGTGTCCTAAGTTTCATAATTTTCAACTACAAAATAGGGGTAATGATGTCAATAACCAGAGAGCTGTTAAAAGATTTGAGAGTTTGCAAATAAATTACAGTTGGACATTGAGCACATTAGTGCTAAAAGTTAGGATTTGCTATCAGACAGATGTGTAAGAGCTGTAAGGTATACTAGCTTAAGTTTGTGATGTGGTATTTATGCTTTGATGGACCTCAACAGCTCCTAGCTGACAAGTTCTGTATCCCTTGTTACTTCCTAAGTGATTAAGGATAAACTTATCCTTTCCTCAAGAATTTCTGCCTGTGTCCCTGACTCCTGAAGCAGCCACAGGACAGTTTAGAGCAACAAAGGAGAAAGACTATTTACAGCAAATCCACTCAAAATTGCATGATGCTAATGAAGCAACGTTTAGAAAGCTCTTTCATAGCAACAGGATGAGGGACTGGAGGCCTGCGGTACCACAGGCTCAGGTCCTCACCACTGAAGGTAAAATTGATCACCAATTAATGCTTTACAGTCATTCCCAAAACAATTTTCACCCCCCACGCTCCCAAAACTCCAGAGGGCTGGAGAAATGGTTGGCAGCTTGCTCCTTGTCCTGGCTAGATTTTGTCACCTCAACACAAGTGAGGTCACCTCAGAGGAGGCAACCTCAATTGAGCCTTAAGCCTACAGGATCCAGGACAGACCTCCAGTAGATGACACAAGAAATGAATTGCATTAGGGGCACTCAGCTGATGATTACTTGTTTGCAGGTGGGAATAAATTATCATACCTTAGGAAGTCTTGCGTGTTAACTGTAAAGCACTAAAGAATCTCATAATGTAGGCCTACTTGGAAGCTGCAACACCAACTTCTGCCAAGGACTAAGGAATCCCAACATCCTGCAACAGCTGAGTTGGAACTGTCTGTCCCTCTTCAGACCTGCCTGCTATACCAGCACTCACTGGTGAAAAATGCAAAGAGCTACAGAAACTGCCAACAACCACCCTCTGAAAAGCATCTCCTTGCCCACCTATAATTCCTGAGTAGAAAAAAAACAAAAGAATGAGTTGAATGCTTAAACCAGATGAAAGTTTGTTTTCCCAGACAACTCTAGCATCATTTATAGTTAGAAAAGGTCTAGCAGATTCAAGTCAAACCAAGTCCCAGCAACGAGAAGGAAGAACTTGACACAGAGTCCTATCAACTGATACTCACTGACAAAGGGAAAATTAGTTTTCTCCAAAGGAGTATCACCAGGTCTATCCACCACTCTTCAGGGCAGGCCCTATGCCCAGGAGTAGCTGGCTAACACAAAACAAATTTCATGTTTGTTTGTTTGTGGATTTTTTTGTTTGGGCATTTTGTCTTATTGATCTTATTTGCTTGTTTGATTTTCTTTCCTTTTGTTTGAGAGAGAGAGAGAGAGAGAGAGAGAGAGAGAGAGAAAGAAACAGATAGACAGACAGAAAGGGGTGGTAGTGTGGTAGCAAACACCTTTAGTCCACGCACTCAGGAAGCACATTCAGGTAGATCACTAAGTGTTTGGTGCCAGCCTGATCTACGAAAGCAAACACCGCTGCAAGGTCACAGCTGCCTGGGGTAAACAGCAACCCACTCTCAAAAAAACCAGAATGAGCCTGGTGGTGGTGGCACACGCCTTTAATTCCAGCACTTGGGAGGCAGAGGCAAGCAGATCTCCGTGAGTTCAAGACCAGCCTGGTGTGGGAGAATTATCTGTATTCTGTTAATCATGTATTTTAATAAAACACTGATTGGCCAGGCAGGAAGTAGAGGCAGGTCAACCAGACAGGAAGTAGAGGCGGGGCAATGAGAATAGGATAAGGCTAGGGAGGAGAAAGCTTGCTCAGCCACTCCTGCGCAGACCACTGAAGAGGCAGCATGTAACTTGCCCAGCTGAAAAAGGTACCAAGCCATATGGCTAATGTAGATAAGGATAAAGGGGTAACATAAGTTATAAGAGCTAATAAGTAGCCTGACCTAATGGACCAATCAGTTTATAACCTAATGTAGACTCTGTGTTATTTTCTTTGGGGTTTGCCGGCTGTGGGGTACCAGGCGGGACGGAAACCCCAACAAGCCGGCCCCCTCATGTTACAATGTTACACCAGCCTGGTCTACAAGAGCGAGTTCCAGGACAGGCACCAAAGCTACAGAGAAACCCTGTCTTGAAAAACCAAAAAACAAACAAACAAACAAACAAAAAACCAACAACAAAAAAACCCACACAAAAAAACCAACCAAACAGAAAACCAAAATGATATAGAACGTATTACAAATATTAGTTAAGTATACCCTAGAGACCAAAGGCTCTAGGCATAACAGGTGGCTGTTATGATGTGTGATTCCCCTCTGTATGCTGTAATAATCATTAATGAACAAAAAACAACCTTGGTCTGTTGATAGGGAAGAACTTAGGTAGGCAGGGAAAACTAAACTGAATGCTAGGAAAAAGAAGGCAGAGTGAGAGACGTCATGTAGTCCCACAGAAGACAGACGCTGGGAACTTTACTGGGTAAGCCACAGCCACGTGGCGATACACAGATTAATGGAAATGGGTTAAATTAATATGTAAGAGTTAGTCAATAAGAAGCTAGAACTAATGGGCCAAGCAATGATTTAATTAGTAAAGTTTCTGTGAGATAATTTCGGGGCTGAGCAGCTGGGCCTCCTTCAACACTGGTATGCACAAAAGGGTACAGAGAAGTAATGAAAACCTTATAACTGTCCTGTACAGGTCTTGTAGTACTGCACTTATAAGTTTGTGAATGGTCCTTGTAAACTGTACTTTAAGGATACAGGCTGGGTGTAAAAGGCACACCTGTGATTCTTGCTTGGGAGCTGGAGACAGGAAGATGAAGTTCAACCTCACCCATAGCTACACAGTGAGTCTGAGATCAGTCTAGGCTACATGAGATCCTGTTGGGGGATCCCTAGGGAGGGAATCACACAGAAAGGAAAGAAAGGAGGAGCTAGGCAAGGTGCCATATATTATAAATACCAGCACTCCAGAGGATGCAGAGGCAGATGAATGTGAGTTCATGGCAAGCCTGGTCTATAGAGCGAGTTCCAGTATAACTAGGGCTACACAATAAGACTCTGTCTCGAAAGAAAGAAAGAAGGAAAGAAAGGAGGGAGGGAGGGAGGGAGGGAGGGAAGGAAGGAAGGAAGGAAGGAAGGAAGGGGAAGGAGAAAGAGAGAGAAGGAGAGCAGACATGCATAATAGGTAGGAAAATAATATTAAATACATGAGTGATCTTACATTATTTTTCTATAAAATCTCATCTGTAGACACTCCAAAGCAAGCAAACGTAATGAAGATAACAATCATAGTATCAGGGGATGGGTCAGGAGCCACAAACAGGGAATCTGGACCTTGGTAGTGCTTATGCAGATAAACACACACACACACACATATGTATATGATTTTACACACACACACACACACATGTATGTATATATATGAATAGACACACACACACATAAAATTGTGTCTAGCACCCAATCTATACCTAGTCTATGCCAAGCATTGAGCTAAGGAACATAGCTATAATCAAGATTAACAAATAGATTATCTAGGAATCCACAACCTGGTAGAAACATGGGAAACATCCATATTTTTACGAAAGCAACATCACACAAAGAAATAATGCCTTCTCTAAAACACGCCCCAAGTAGTCACCACAGGAAGTGCATTGGCAGCAGACGCCGGTCTTTACTCACCCATCATAGTAAATGTCTTCCCTGAGCCAGTCTGCCCGCTGAAAGATAAAAGTTTGATGTGTTATTTTCACACATAAAATTCCGACTATCCTCCTATTTAGTATGGTCTACTAAGATGGAATGGGATGATCCTTTCCAAACTGCTCTGCAACCTTCTTTTCCCTTCATTAACTGTACCTCATTTTGTATAAATAGCTACAATAGTATGCTATGGACACAGAATCTTCTAGCATAAGTTATTCAACCAGAACCAAGCAGACTTTTGTTTCTAATTTTTGCTAAATAATGTAGCAATTTTGAAGTTCTCTGCCTGGAAAAGACATTTAAATGTCTATTAAGTTTAAGGACTGCACCTGGCGAAAAATGCCTTTAATCCCAGTATGAGGCAGAGGCAGGCAGATCTGAGATCTGAATGATCACCCAACCAATAAATCATTTGTTTATCTCCAAGTTCTACCCACAAATATAAAAGAGAATTTGATTAATATATTAATGAGTGAATCTTAGCATAAATATTCCTACAAAGCTGGACATAACGGTGTGTGCCTTTAATCCCAGTACTCAGGACGCAGAGGCAAGCAGAGTTTTCTGAGTTCAAGGTCTATATGTCAAGTTCCAGGATAGCCAGAGCTGCATAGAGAGACCCTTCCTCTAAATAAACAAACACAAAAATAAACAAGCAAGCAAGCCAGCCTCCAGAGTCTCCAACCAAAACAGTTCTGAAGACAGGCAATCTGTTGCAACTGTGGCTATCTCAAGGTCATTTTGAATTTCACCATTTAAATTAATCTATGGAAAAATTCTCGCTGCTATGGGAAGACATGAGAGAATAGCTTTCTATCTCGTGTCTATGTGAGTGAGTGCACAGTCTACAGAAACCAGGAAAATAAAACAGGACCACTGCCAGGACAGGGGTTAGGGAGCAAGAAAACAGCAGGTTACAAATGGTCTGACCCGGGAAATGGGATAGGGCAGGCTCTTTGAGGAGGCAGGATGGAGGTAAAGACAGAAGGAGGGAGGAATGTAAAATAACAATATGGAGGTCTGAAAAAGCCATAAGGAATCATACTATTAATTATTTACTTAAAAAAAGACTACAATACACGAAATGCCATGTATATAATTTATATATAAATAGATTACCTAACAAAAATCTAAAACCCCAATACCAGACATGAGAAACCCTCTTTTGAGTTGTTGGGCAGGGGTGTCCAAGAGACTCCCAGAAGACACAACCTATTGCTGTTGCCCTTGGTTACCCTCCTAGAGAAGGAAGGTCATTCCCTATTGCTGAAGACACCATGTACTTTAGAACAGGTCCAGACAGCCCTGAGCTGGGAGATCTGAAGGTCTTCTCCCTGCAGACGGGTTCTCATGGTGCTGGAGGGCACACGGAAAGGGAATTGCACATTAACACTTTACAGCTAATAGGTTTCTCACAGTGATACCTATTAATTCTGAAACTATTTTACATGTATCCTAAGGTTGAATAGGTTAGTAAAGGGATGACAGACAGGAAAAGGTTTATTACCAACGGCAAGGGTGGTAAACAAGAAAGAAAGACTCGAATAAACCCAGTGGTTACTGGGTTAGAGCCAGACATCAGTATAAACTCATGTTTAGCATGATATCTACATGAGCAGATGATACAGAAACAATTCCATATCTCTCTGCTGACACAAGGGTACGTACATATATTTCCTAGCCCTGTCTGCTGAGAAAGCCTCAAAGCAGTCACTGTCCAATAGCAATAAATACATCTCAGGGGCCAGATCTTGGTTTCTCATTACTATGTTCCAACAAAAGGAACCAGGGTCTTAATGGTTCTAGAACGGGTTTAGGGAAAATATAAGCGCTTAGAAAGTCAGGTAGCGTGATAAAGCAAGAAACGTGCTCAAAACTCACAGGACAGAATATGTCAGGGGGTACAGAAACTTCAAAATGCTCCTAGTGACCAAGGATGGAGCAAGATGAGCAACATAAAGACTATAGCACAGGAGTACAACCCAAAGTGTAATACAAATATACATGACTATAGATCATATAAATGGACGAATAAAGAAAACAGACAAACCTTTCTTTCAGAAAAATTTCAAATATCATTCTTCTCTCCAAAAGACAGAGCTCAACCCACTCACCTTGATCACCCTGGTCTGGCTGACCTACAACAGGCACCTCTACAAATCCAGAGCCTTTGTCAGGGACAGACAAAAGTCAGAAAGAGTCACTGCACTGCAGTGGCTCTGAGCCACATAAGCTGAATGGTCTCTAAGCTGGGAAAGGGAAAAATATTCTGTACAGCTGCCTGGAGGAATGAAGCTCCAGTAACAGCTTAATCTTAGCCCAGTAAGATCCATGTGGAACTTTTGACTTAAGTAAAATAAATCAGTAATTTTATGCCACTAGTTTGGGGTGACTTATTAATGCAGCAACAAGAAGGAACTACTACAAGCACTATCATACCTTTATATGTAGACAGACAACAACTTACTATGCAAAGATGGTCCCATTATAACCGCTCATGCAAGACGCCACAATGCTTTTGGCCACTGTTGAGAACACAGACTCCTACAAATAATAAGCACCAAACATGTTAAATAAAAACACTTCTAATCTATGTCTCATGTTATAAAAACTGACTGCTTGGACTTTAAGGCCTATGATTACTTGATGGTTGCATCTACTTAGGAAAAATGGGTAAACCACAAAAGATGATAAAAGGTAGAACTATTGATATTGTTAGGTCCATTAATCTCCAATACAGTCATAGATTGAAAGTGCATCTACTGCTTTGGAGCAACGCGACCAGGGAAAGGTTCAGAGAAACCTAACACAGTGTCTCAACTTTATGGTTTCAGCCTTATCAATTTCTATAACACAGTTTTGCTATTTTTAAAGTGTTGATATTATTTACAAATGCATTTCAATTCTTTGGGTTTACATACATATTTATGTACAGATGTGTGCATGCATACGTTGGGGTGCACATGACACTGTGGCTGTTGCTCCTCGGGTGCTGCCCACTGTAGTTTTTTGTTTAATTTTGAGACAAAGTCAACTCAACAAGTAGACTAGTCAGGCTGACCACTGAGTCCCAGTGATCCACATTTCTGCCTTCCCACCACTTGGATTACAAGTGTAGACCACCAAATCTGTCTTTGTTCATACATGGGATCACAGGATGAAACTTGGGTCCTTCGTACTTTAGTGATTCCACTATCTCCCAATCATTTCAGTTTTTTTAGTAAAAAAGAAAATTTTCTTAAAAAAAAAAAAAGAAGAAGAAGAAGAAGCAAGCAGGGCATAGTAATAAAGACCTTTAAACCCAGCAACTGGGAGGCAGAGTGCAAGGCCAGCTTGGACTGCATAGTGAATTCCAGGACAGCCAGAGTTACACAGTAAGACCCTGTCCCAGGGGAAAAAACTCGCAGGTGACTGGAGACACAGCTCAGTAATTAGGAGAACTACAGGCTGCTCTTCCAGAGGACACTACTTTGATTCTCAGTGCTCACATGGCGGACCCATAGCCACAGTAACTCTAGTTCTAGTCGCAGAAGGCACTGGACACACATGTGGTGCACAGACATATATGCAGGCAAAATACCTATACACATAAAATGGAGAGTTGGCTCAGTTAAGAGCACGCATTGCTTTTGTATAGGACCTATGTTTGATACCCAGAATGCACATGGTGGGTCACAATCATCCATAACTCCAGTTCCAGGGTATCTGACACCCTCTTTTGACCTCCAAGGACATCAGGCATGTGCACACAACACATACATATGTACATACATGCAGGTAAAATACTCAATACATATAAGAAAAACATTTTAAATGCATGTATCAAATTTTACATATTACATACAAATATTATTCTGTTAGTACAAAATTCACAGTTCTATATTTTCTTCACTTATTTTGTCATTAGTTTGTACTAAAAGTATTTTTATTTTATTTTTACTTATAGGTAGATGCAGTTTATCAACAATGCAAGATTTCCTAAACCTACACTGTCCATAAGCTATGTGTGGCTACTGAAAGCCTGATGTAGGTTACTAATCCAAACAGACATGTTGTATAGGTGTGAAATACATAGGAGATGCTCTTCAAATGGGAAATACCTTTGCTCTTTTGAGACAGGGTTTCTCTGGTAACTCACTCTGTAGACCAGGCTGGCCTTGAACTCAAGAGATCTGCCTGCCTCTGCCTCCCAAGTGCTGTTGGAATTAAAGGCATGAGCTACCACCGCGTGGCCAGGAAAATCTTTTAATAATAGCTACATTAATTACATATTGAAGTGGTATTTTGGACACATTTACTTAAGTAATATACCATTAATAATTAATGTTGTCTGTTTCTTGTCTGCCCACTGTGTCACTAAGATATTTTAAATTATAGTGTAGCTCATGTTATATTTGCATTGACTGTCAGTTCCCAAGCTGAAAAAAAAAAAAGACCTAAGGGCTGGAGAAATGGCTCAGTGGTTAAGAGCACTGACTGCTCTTCCAGAGGACCCAGGTTCAATTCCCAGCACCCACATGGCAGCTCACAACTGTCTGAAAATCCAGTTCCAGGGGATCTGACACCTTCATACCAATGCACATAAAATAAAGATAAATAAATCATAAATTTTTAAAAAAGACCTAAATATTTTACAAATAAGCAAACAAATGTCAAGTGTATAATAAAGACCTATGAGGGCCTGGAGACTTGATTCATTCAGCAGAGTGCTTGCCCCAGCACCACACACACCAGGCATCATGGTACACACGTGCAATCCCAGCACCACACACACTAGGCATCATGGTACATGCCTGCAATCCCAGCACCACAAACACCAGGAAACACGGAACACGCCTGCAATCCCAGCACCACACACACCAGGCATCACAGTTCATGCCTGCAAAATCCCAGCACCACACACACCCGGCATCATGGTACATGTCTGTAATCCCAGCACTCAGGAGCTGGCGGCCACCAGATCTGAAGTCTAAGGTCATCTTTGCTACACAGTGTGCTCCAGACTCGTGTGAGATACACAAGACCCTATCTCAAAACAAAAAAATAAAGACCTGTGATGTCTGACACAGTAACCATTAGCTGCATGTGACTAACCTGAATCATCTAACATACTAGCCATATTTCAAATGTTTAAGAGACATGAATGGCTAATGTATGCAAGTAATCAAATTTTAAATTTTATTTAGTTTTAATTAACTTTAATTCACCACATGGCAGAAGTTACTGTAGCAGGTCAAATATTGAACACTTCCACCACTGCAGAAAGTTCTGTTAGACAGTGGTATTAGATTTTAATTAAATTGGATTTAATTAGAAAAGCAGTTATCAAAGTGTGGTAGTGGCACAGGCCTTTAATACCAGTACTCCAGAGGCAGAGGTGGCGGATCTCTGTGAGTTCAAGGCCAGTCTGGTCTACTGAGTGAGTTCCAGGACAGCCAGGACTACGCTGAGAAACCCTGTCTCAAAGGGGAGAAGGAAAAAAAAAAGGATGAATGGAAGGAAGGTAAAGCAAAGCAGCTTCTCCCATAACAGTATCTTCTTTATGTGGGTTCTGGGGTTTGAACTCAGCTAGTGTTACCTTTGAGGCAGTGATTTCATACATGGAGTCATCTTCAGAAGTCCACAGTCATCTTAAACCCTTAAACTAGAAAGTCAGCTGTATTTGGGGATTGTTTAAGTGGCTCTGAAATCTTCATTTATCTTCATCAGTATTATAAAAAGAAACATAAAACAGCTTTGTCTGATTCTTGGACAAAGCTTGAAGAATAAAGAAGACAACTGCTTAACAAAACTAGATTAAAAATATTTATGAAAGTTTTAGCTTTCTTATCTGAAATCTACACAACTAAAAAGTGACCAGGAATTGAATTCCAACAAACAAAGCCTCATATATTCCTAGTGAAAGGGTAAGTTTCCAACGACCACTACCTGAGTGGCATCCATGCCTGCAACATAATCAAACACAAAGGTCTTGGGGTCTGGGTTGGAGTGCAGCCGGAGCGTAGTTGGGGAGAGCACAGACAGGCATAAGCTGTGCTCTCCATCTGAAGGTCCTGGGCCTTCTGCAGGAGGACGAATTCTCACAAAAACTTTGATGGCATCACCTTCATTACTAAAGACCAAAACAAAATGTAACAGGTAAGTTTGCGGGGGAAAGGAGACTATAAATAAATAACTGAATCTCAAATTGCCTGTCACATTACTATAATGAGTCCAAGTCTTAGGCCTACGCCATAGAAATTTACTCCTTTAAAATTTTCACATAACTCACACCCTTTGCAGATACCCTCACAAACCATTACAGAAAATAAAATCAAAGGCAGCTACTTCAAGGAGCTCAGCATTGCTTTCCTGCTATTGCCCTCTTACTAGTACCTACTAATAAGCCTTCCCAAGGAATTATCAGGTCATTCACTCCATATTTTTGCAGGGAAACTGGAAGGGAAACATTGGGAAGTATGCAACTGTCCTCTACTTCCAGCTGGCTGAAGACAAGCTAAATATGCCTCTCTGAACATACTACACAGTTATCTACTATATACTTCATTTTTCTTACCAGCAAGACTTTTTCTTACCTTGGCTGGGTGGAATGAGAATTTGTCCCATTTCGTAACTCAGCTAGAAAAAGAAGATAAGAGATCTGTAAGGATAAAAGCACAAGAATAAAACTGAAACTCTTACCTCAGGAATTAGGCCACAACTCCTTGAGGCCTGACCTCCATAACTTAACATGTCTTGTATAGACAGCATGGTGCCTAAGTTCTAATAAAAATGATCCACACTTTAAACTTTCCGAGCTAAAGAGACAGTGAGAAGCCTGCCTATCTATCCCAGTCTGGACCCTACACAAATGGTTCCTGAGACTAAGTAGCTTTCTCCTCAACTACGATAAAACTTCTGCCCTCTCTCTGCCCTGGTCTCCCCTCAAAATCTGGCCGAGGAAACTGATGTGCTGTCTTCTTACAGCGTATCTAAAGAACTTCTCTGTATGCTTTTGTGAACTGGGTAAATTCTTTACCACCTGTATAAAAATGGTTATATGCCATTTTTTAACAAAATCATTAAAGGTAATTATAACTGCATTTATATACTAACTGCAAAGCCTAGGCTGGGTGACCAACAAAGGACAAAAAATTCATTATGGAAATCTCTTCAGTTATTGATACTCCTTGACTTTCTCAGATCCCTTATATCCGCATCCAAATCTTGGCCTCATTTCTCCTCCCCATTCTATCCCAGTCCATTATACTGGTAACCATATCCAGTCTCATGAGTTTAAATGTTAGGTATACATTGATGATTTTCAAATTAATAATTAATTAGAGACAGTGACTCAATGTTTCAGATTTAATGTGTCCAAAACTGAGCTCTCTCCACCATTGCAAACAAGCGGCAGTGATCATGAGCCCATGCTCATGACCCACAGTCTTGACAAAACTGATGAAATTTGGGATAGGGAGTAACACATCTAAACACACTAGAGACACTTGTGCCGCCATGTTGTAAAAATGGAGACAGTCTGTTCAAAGTGGGAAGTCAGACAAGAGAGTGACCTGAGATCCCAGTCCACTCCACCAGGAAAGGATCCATGAAACTGTCTCACAGCTGAATCTACATTCTCTTCCAATCTTGGTCTCACAGTGACAAATTTTAACATTGCGAAGGCACAATGGAGAGGAAATTAGGGTCTCCTCCTTTATAATACCTATCTTAGCCAAATTGTAAATATATCAATTTCCTTAGCAATTTCTGTTTCCTAATTTCTTTTGGAAGACAGGAAAACTGAGGCAGAAGATGTGGACCTAAGCTCCCGGTAACTCTGCGTCATCTCAGCAAATGACAACTCTTTCTAGTTTCTCAGGTCTTAAACCACAGAATCCCACTTGCTCTGTAACCATGGTTACCTATCCTTCAGACAATGAACTAACACTTCCCCAGCGTTCTCTAAAGGGTCTCATGCTGGGAAAAGGGAAAAGCTGAAGCCATGATGCCAGACAAGGGGAGGCAATTGCCTCCTGAGAAGAGATTCCCGAATTCTGACTGTCAGGACAGCCTGTAGGGCAGTTAGAACCCAGACAGTGATGGGTCAGTGAGGAATGGAAATCTTATGCCCTTGACCTGGTCTATTTAAACCTAAACTTCATGTCAGGACCCCAAACATGGACTGGGAGTCACCAAACCTCTTTGGTCTTCTTTCCTACAAGGTCCTTAGCTTTTCACTCTTATATGCTTATTTAATTGGCACACTAGAGACTGGTGGCCACGATTAGCCCAGTTAGGTTGGCCAGAGGCCCCTGCTCTGGCCCTAAAAACAACTCCACTCTTTCTCACTCTACATCTCCAATCTGTCAAAATCTATTGCCATCACTGGGGAATAAACAATTATCTTTTATGTAGGTTACTGTAAGTCTCCCTCCTTCTTTTACTCCCTTAGTCCTATCAACTGTCATGTTAACCTAGCTGGCAGAATGAGTCTGGTTTTTGTTTTGTTTTGAAGAGGTCAAAGAAGGGTAAAATAAGAAAGTTGACAGTGTGAGAATGAACTTCATTGACCCACAGTCTTGACAAACTGATGAAATTTGGGATAGGGAGTAACACATCTAGAAACATCTCTGAAGGCAAAGAGCAAACAAGAAACATCTACTCAAGAAAACTTTAAAATTCAGTCAGAAAGGTGAGTGTGTCATTTGAACCAAAATAGCCCCCTTCTCTTATAGCTAATATAGGTGTGAACTTCCCTACAGCACCCAAAAACTCAGCATCCCTCCCTCTGCAGTTCCCAACAGGAGGAATTCCTTCCCAGGAAGCAAGATACTGGAATTTCTCATTTGGTTTCTAGCTAGCTAGCCATTCCTGAGACTACGTCCAAGGCAAATATAGTAGAGAGAAGGGGGAGTACTTCTCGTTCATGAACACAGGACCCCACCCCTGCCTGAACACAGCACATTAGAATGAGTGTCTTGCTCGCCCTTTCCCCAGTGGTTTCATACTAAGAAAGCAAACTCTCCAAGACCCTAGGCTGTTTATTGTTCCCTCCCACAACCAGAAAGAACACATCACTGAGACAAGACTGTCATTTACCCTATCCCCACCTCTACTGCTTAGGCAGAGAAAAAGACAGATTGATAGACCATCACAAACAGATGATAGACCATCACAAACAGATGATAGACCATCATAAACAGGCCACACTTCACAGCTTCTCAAAGAAGCTGATTCCATCTCTAACAGAGCATAGAGAAATTTAATTCTAGGTATTGTGGTTAAAGAAAAAAAGACTCAAGAGATCAGCTAAACTGCAGGCAGCTTTTCTGGAAAGAGCAAATGAGTAAATCTACTAGGGGCTTAAACCGGTTATAACAAATACCAAACTCATATCTCAGATCTTGTCCTTAAAAAAAAAAATCAACATTTAATTTGTAGTTATACCCTCAGGAACTTGTGCTATTCTGAAGTTTTTCCTCTAAGTTTAAATTATAGCAAAAAATAGAAAATGTCAACAAGCACATGAGCTATAGCAAGTCGCTTCTCTAGCCTCGCACCCAGAGGGCTGGGGCAGGAGACTCACAAACTTGAGGCCAGCCTGGGCTACACAGGAAAAAAAATCTATCTCCAAAGCTCCAAACTGAACAAAGCTTGGGGCAGCATTCCATCTTCTGCAGAGAGGAAGGCAAAGTCCTTACAGTCACCTCTGTGACTGACTTGTTCTGGGGGCGTCACCTTGCTCTGCCGCCCACCTCTCCACCTCAGTAAATCAGCTCCGGTCAGTTCTCAAACACACTTTATTTTAGTGCTTTTGTTCTTGCTGTGATGCCTTCTTACTATGCTTCTTCAAATTCTTCCTGTGTTTTTTCAAATAAAACCTTTAATTTTTTTTAACATTAAGGGCTGGAGAGACGGCACAGTGGCTAAGCGCACTGGCTGCTCTTCTAGAGGATCTCGGATCAATACCCAGCACCTGCATGACAGACGACAGCTGTCTATACCTACACTACCAAGGGATCCAGTACTCACTCCTAGCCTCCATGGGCCCTTCACACACATGATGCACATACACACATGAAGACAAAACATCCATACACATAATTTTTAAAATTTTAATCCATTAATTTTAATTTTAAAATTCTATCTATCTAACTATCTAATCTATCTATCTATCTACCTACCTACCTACCTATCTATCTATCTATCTATCTATCCATCATCTATCTATCGTGTGTGTAGGGTCAAGTTACAGAAGTCAGTTCTTGTTTCTATCACATGGGTTCTGAGCATGGAACTCAGGTGGTCAGACTTCATGGTAAGTGCCTTAACCCAATAAGTCATCTTTCCAGCCCTCAAATATAACCTAAATAAGGCATCCCACAATCACGCTATGTAATAGCATATATAATCTTCCTTTGTTGGCAACAAATTTACTCCAGGACCCCAGATACAAAACAAATCTATGGATGTTTAAGTCCTTTATATAAAATGATTGTTACTCCATATAAGCTATATACATCTTCTTACATATTTTAAAAGATCTCTAGATTCCTGTAATACCTAACAGAGTATAAACGATATCAGGTATATAGTTGTACTGTTTAAAGAATGACAAGAAAAGAATTCTATGCATATTCTATGCAGATGTGGAGCCCAAAGACACAGAAGGCCAGTTTCTTAACTGGCCCCACTTGTGCATTTTATCACACACTTCCCTTTCTGCTGTGGAGCTATCATTTTATACAGTGTAAACATGTATTACTCTCACTGGTTAATAAAGAGCTGACTGGCTGAAAGCTAGGCAGAATTTTCGGGGGCAGAGAAAATGCTGGGAAGAAGGGTAGAGTCTCGGGAGTCGCCAACCAGATGCAAGGAAGCAGGATGTGTACAAAATGAGGTAACAAGCTATGAGCCACATCACAGTAAGTAAAGGAACAGAAATGGGTTAATTTAAAATGTAAGAGCTAGTTAGTAATAAGACTAAGCTATCAGTCAAGCATTTATAATTAATAATGAGTCTCTGTGTGATTATTTGGGAGCAGGCTGGTGGGACAGAGGTGACCAGTGGTCCTGATGATAAACTCGGTCTATAAATGGCTCCCTACACAAGGTGTCGGATATTGCAATTTCTTTTATTGGTTATTAAAGAATGAAACTCACAGATAAATATTGAAGAATACAATCTGAGAAAATCACAAACAACTGCAAAACACACCACTACCATTTACTTCCCCCACTCAAAAAAAGCACACAACCTTCCAGTCAGTCTACTCTTCTCAGGGGCCTCTCTTTCTAGAGCACATGGAGGGCGGGGAGCATGTGGACACACACACTCTATGATCCATTCCAACCAGCTGAAGGTGAATGCCACCTCTCCCATCACCTGTCAGACCAACACCTGACTCCATTGAATGTCAGACCACAACACAGACAAAATTTCCACACTTTTCTTGGCTCTGTTCAGCTTCAAAGAAACTGTTGTTGTTATTACTATCATAACACATATTATTCTTCCACCTTGTAAAGTAGATCCACAGTAACACACAATAACTATCTCTGAATGAATGAGACCAGAACAATAATAAGTTCCACGCATACATGAACTGAAAGCAAAAGGTTATCACAGAACTTTATTTCTGAAGATTATCCCTCAAATCAACACCTGTGAAGCAGGAAACAGACAAGACGACCAACCCACCACACTTCTGTACACAGTTCTCTCAAACGCTGGTGACAAACAGCACTTTTGTACCTGGAGCAAAAGTGAAAAGGAAGACAGACCAGGACACAAAAGGAAGGCTTTCATGTTTCAAAAGCTGAACTCTGAGTTCCTGCTTTGGCTTATCCTTATGAACAGAACACAGCCTTCCAATCTGTCAGCCATGACGGAGTAGCAAGGATGCAATGTACTTGTTTTAAGTGACCAGAAAACTGAACAAAAAAAAATCTGCAGCAAGTTCTGAGACACTGGACAACAGGCGGCATAGAAAAGAGATCCTGAGAGGAGGAAACAAAGACAGCGAGCCTTGGATCACAAGCCACAGTGCAGGCAGGAGAATCCAAGTAGAGCTTGCTGAACTAGCTGAGCTGAGGAGAAATGGTTTGGTTTGGGAAAGTAAATGCAGTTAGACTCTGTGGGACAAAAAACTGGAGAAGTTCATAAAGAGAGCAAGCTCTGGCTTTCCAGAGATCTCCTTAAGTACCCAGACATCAACAGGCAAGTTTTCAGTAAGTTAAGTGGATCCCAAAAGAAAATTCTTACCCGTCCCCAGTCCATCCCCAAAAGCAAAGCTACCTGAACAATGAGATAAAATGAAGAATTTCAGGGAGGAGGCCAGGGGTGCACACCTTAAATCCCAGCACTCCAGAGGCAGAGGCAGGAGGAGCTCTGAGCTACAGGCCAGCCCAGTGTCTACAGCAAGCATCAAACAGCTAAAACAATGCGGAGAGATCGCAACAAACTGTAGAGAAGTAGGCAGCTATGCATGATTCCTAACTGAAGTATATAGCCTTATCAGGTCACCATTCTCTGGATACATTTACTGTAAATTTTTTCAATTTTGAGGTCATCGATGTGTCTGCCTAAAAACATGTTAAAGACTATTCACAGATATTTTATTCATGTTAATTCGACCTAGAAACCCAAGTTCAAAGAGAGAGAGAAAGAGAAACCCCATCAAAAACAGAACAAATTGTAATATGCTTACCTAACAGAATACCAGAGAGCAATGAAAAAGACCTAGCTGCCGCTGCCTACCAAGGATGCTCACAGGCACAAAATTTCACAAGAGTCATTACAAGAAGAAAGAACGTATGTACCAACCACATGAGCTTCAAGAATAGATAAAACTGCTGAGTGGAGATAAGAAGCAGAATACTGGTGAGGCTGAGGTGGTTACTGACTACAGGGACAGCTCTATTCTATTCTATGGAATAGAATTCTATTCTATTCTATTCAAGACCATCCCTGGCTTCACAGAAATCTTAAGACCAGTCTGGTTTATGTGATACCTATTTTTAAAAAGGATTATAATAAATACTGTGATGATACAGAAAATAGGATGAGCATTTAAGATCCGTAACATTCGTATGCTTAAATTCCCTTAATACCGAAAGTGGCAGAGGAAAAGACTGCTTTAAGCTGAGAAAAAGAGTCACACTGAATTGTTCAGATAACGGTGTAATAGACTTAGAGGGAAATAATTACAATTGACAAAGAGGTACAAACATGAACACTATTGTAAAATTCAAACGTACAATTTCACAATTTTCTCAAGCATCTCCTCATTCCACTCTCAAATCTTAAAATCAGCCTTCAAAAACAGATGGCAGCACCCATACACAGCAGTTTACGACAACTCAGAACGCCAGCTCGTGATCTCCAACCACCCTCCCAAGGGCAGGCACCTTGACACATACACCATAAGTAAAAATAAAGAATTTAAAAAAGACAGCTTACAGAATTCTGCAACACAAGAAGTGGCACTTACATACAGTGGAGGTGGGGGATTAAATCAGTCTCTTCCGAATAAAAAGAGATTGAGAATGTGTATCGGTCTACCCATAAACTGCAGGTCCCTTTTCCATGGTTTTTATTCCAGCCACCATCTAGAGTCCAAAACCACTAACTAGAAAATTCAGAACTAAACAAATCGTCTTTTATTTGTTTATCTCGAGACAAGCTCTCAATATGAAGACTGGCCTTAAACAGCCCATTCTCAGTAGCACGTCCTGATACACAACTCCCTTTAGCCAGGGTCTTGGCCACACTATATATACCGCTCTCCTAATAGTCTCAGCCTTCCGTTATGAAAGCAACTAGCTAACTGACAATGCTTGCGTGCAAGTGTCTTTTGGAAACTAACTCTGTCACACTGTAGCATTTCTCTCACCATGCCTCTCATTTCAAAAGAAAAGACGGCTCTAAGAAACCCTTTCACATAACTTACTATTGTATATTATCACAATTGCTGTATATTATTATCAGCTTATCTCTGAGTATACTAGATTTACAGAGAACAGTTGTCTATAAATAGGGTTCTGTGTCATGATGCAATTCTGGATTCATGAATTCACGAAGTCTTGGCGGATGAAGTGGGAACTATTGTAAACAGATGGGTTGCAATTCGCTTTAAAAATCCCTCCTGAGGGCGGGCCACCGAAGGGAACGCAATTCCCTTTCCTTCGAGAAAGTCGGAAACGTGGAAGCAAGCAAGCAGCAGGTGGAGAGCACAAGGGTCCGCCCTCAGGACACTGACACAAGAAGAAGCCAGTAGGGACACAGCAGGGTGTGCAGCGCTGGGAAGGGCGCGAGGATGTGCAGGGGCTGAACCCGGACGCCTGAGCTCTGCGTGGAACTCGGGTTCCCCTCCGTGCGCGCCGCCGAGCCTCTAGCGGGGCGCCCTAGGAGCTGCCGTCCGCTGACACCGGGGTTTGCCAGCGGCCATGAGCTCACGAGGCAGGCTCACGACTTACCTTTGCAGCCCGGGGCCATGGCGACCTCCGCGCGGATTCGCGACCGCCGTGGCCGCTAGGATCCTCCCGCCAAGATGGCCACGGATTTGAATTTGGCGCCGCCCACGCGCCACGCCCCCGAGGGGTCGTGGTTGGTGACGTAAAGCGTGCGCCGACGTGAGAAGTGTGCGCGGGCGACGGCGCCTCTGCCCTGCCGGCTGGAGTGGGTGCTTTCCGTCGGAGCCGCCATGAGCAAGCGGAACCTGGTGTCGTACGTGCGGCCCGCCGAGCCCGCCTTCCTGTCCCGCTTCAAGGAGCGAGTCGGCTACCAGGAGGGGCCCACCGTCGAGACCAAGGTGAGCCAGCCGGAGTCGAGCCGCGTCGGACCCGCGTGCCCACGCCACTTCCGGCTCCTCTGGTTCACCCCCTCCCCCCCACTCGCGCGACCTGACCTAGCCAGCCGGGCCTCGGACCCCAGGTCTGGTCTCTTGCTCAGAGTGCTGTTTTTGGAGATGACCTAGCCCTCAGTAACTTAAGACGGCTTCCCCGTCCTTTTCTTTCTCTCTTCCGAATCTCACTTCACGTGAGCAAGATGATTGACAGCATCGTCCCCTTTTTCAGAGAAGGAAAGGGAGGCCACTTGTCTAAATGATTCGAATCTGGAGTCTTTTGGGGAACCATCCAGGATTAGAAGCAGAATCCCTGCTGTTTTCCAGGCTGCATGTCTCAGGATAGGGCGATGAAACAGTACTCATCAATGGAGTTTATCCAAAAACGACCGTAAACACGTTGTTGCCTAGTAGCTATGCACACGTCACACGTGCGGTTGTCTTCTAGAGGCTCTTTAGTCTTGAAGGCAACATAAGTAAGGGTTGGCGTGGAACAGCGTCGTGTCCTAGACACAATTTGAGAGACAAAGGAGGCAGAGGAGCGGAGATAGTCACGGACTGTTAAGTACTCAAGTTTAGAGTTTGGAGGGTGTGAACGTGACCTAGGATAAAGTATTGCAGTAGTCTAAGGCCAACTCACGCAGTGTGTTCCACATTACAAAATGAAGTACTGGGCAGTAATTTGAAAAATGAGATGAGGCGGGTGGTGGTGGCGAATGGGCCTTTAATCCCAGCACTCGGGAGGCAGAGGCAGGAGGATCTCTGTGAGTTCGAGGACAGCCTGGTCTACAGAGTGAGTTCCAGAACAGGCACCAAAGTTACAGAGAAACCTTTTCTCGAGAAAACCAAAAAAAATGAAAAAGAAAAAGAAAAAAAAATGAGACGATACTATATTTATGTCAGTGTATTATACAAAGACTTTTTTAGTTTAAAAATATATGGTGCCTAGCTTTTGAAAAATATGATTTGGCTGACAAAATATTACATTTATTACATGTGTACAATGAGTTCAGGGTACTGCTTGAGAAATTACAGAAGTTAGAGGCAGAGTTGTGTGTTTTTGGTGTTTTGTCTTTTGTCAAATTCAGACAAGACAGAAATGAAAAATATTGATTAGAAACAAAGAACCAGACTAGTTCGGTACTCCCTTGAGTGGTCTAGATGGAAGTGAGTGCCACTGGGCATGCCAGGGTGACCGGCAGGTAGACCTATGTTCTGTGTGGTAAGTTAGGCTCTTTGGAGTTAATTCATTTTATATTCGTTTCACGGACACCCATTTCACTTTAATAATTGTTGTCACAGTGGCTGTGGTTATGTTAAAGGTCAGCAACCTACACATTACATTTGATTTTCTGTAGAAAATCCAGCCTCAGCTCCCAGATGATGATGGGGACCGCAGTGACAAAGAAGATGAGCAGCCTCAAGTAGTGGTTTTAAAAAAGGGAGACCTAACAGCTGAAGAAGTCATGAAAATTAAAGCAGAAATAAAAGCTGCCAAAGCAGGTAATGTCCAAAAGTTATCTGTTTTTAAGGAGCATAAAGTAGGGTTTTGTTTTGTTTTTTAATTGAATAGAATGATTTGCTTGAAGAATGTGGCCTTTGTTTCAAGCATTGGCTATGGTGCCAGATGTGTAACCTTGTGCAAGTTCCCCACCAGTGACATAAAGACAATAAATGACCCTTCCTTGGTGTACTGTTTAAAGTAGCCATTTAACAAAATGGGTCAACCAGTGAGCAAAGATTTGTGTAATTAATTAGTGCTGAAGTGTAGTATGTTATGTAGTACACTTATATTGTTCCTAAATAGCTGTTACATTGTTTTAGGGAGAAATATTGTGGTTCCAAACACATTTCAGAATACAACCTGATGACCTGGAAAACAGCTCGGTGGTAGAGCACCTTCTTAGCATACGAGACCCTAAGTTCAGGTGTCACCTTCATCTTTACTGTCATCAGCTGGGGACTAAAATTATGGGACATGTTAGTGAGGTTTTATTGAGTGGTGGCTTGTGTTGGTTATGGTATAACCAGAAGCAGTAGAGCAGACTGAATTTCGTCAAGGACGTACTTAAGTACAATGTATGGCTTTCTTCTTAAGTACAATGTATGACTTTCTTGCCAATTGACTCTTGGTTAACAGCTAAATAATGAGAAGAAACTTCTCTAGCTTTTCTTTTCTTTTCTGTCACAGATGAAGAGCCACCTCCAGCTGATGGAAGAATCATGTATCGAAAACCAGTTAAGCGTTCCTCAGATGAAAAGTGTTCGGGTTTAACAGCAAGCTCCAAGAAAAAGAAAACAAATGAAGATGATGTAGATAGGCAGAGTTCAGTTAGAAAGAACTCACAAAAGCAAGTAAGAAACAGTAGTCTCCTTTCTTTTGACAATGAAGATGAAAATGAGTAAGTATAAACATTGTGGACTTGGTTTCCTTTAAAAGCAATGAGGTATTTTTTAAAACATTAATTTTCCTATATCTTAAAGTGACATTTTCCCCAAGTACTTCAGGTTCATTACAGAAAGCTTCAAAAATACAGAAGACAAACTTGAAATAAAACCCATCCAATAATGCCCCTTTGCTGGAAATGCTAGACATTCACTACTGCTAACATTTTATTACCTCCCACGTGTGGGTATGTATATATGTAAATTATATTTTTAAATAAAACTGAGATTGTCGTATATGTTCTGTGTCCTGCTTCTTACAATTACAGTGTTAGAATTTTGTTGCATATTTTAAAAATCTAGCATCAATAGCTCATAAAGTATGTTATAATAAATAGATGTCTTAATCACTGTGCTGCTGATGTAAAGAGACACCATACCCAAGGCAACTGTTATAAAAGAAAGCATTTAATTGGGGGCTTGCTTGCAGTTTGAGCTTAGTCATCCTGGCAGGAAGCATGGTGGCAAGACAGGCATGACGCTGAAGAAGTACCTGAAGGTACATCCTGAACCACAAGGGGTGGTGGGGTAGGGGTGGGAAACATGACCACACTGAGAGACAGACTGGCATGGGCTTTATTTTGTTTTTTGAAACAGGGTTTCTCTGAGTAGCTCTGACTGTCCTGGAACAAAGACCAAGCTGGCCTCAGACTCAGAGATCTGCCTGCCTCTGCCTCCCAAACGCTGAGATTAAAGGTGTGCTACACCACGGCCCACTGGCATGGGCTTTTGAAACCTTAAAACCCACCCCCAGTGACACACTTCCTCCAATAAAGCCATATCTCCTAATCTTTGTAATCCTTTCAAGTTATTTCCTGATGATTGAGCACTCAAATATATGAGCCTTTTTTGTAACTTTTTCATTAGTAAACCCTACTTTAGATGAAGGCATGGATATGTGCCTAGTTGAAATAAGGCACATATTTCCCAAGCCAGGTGTAATAACCTATAACCCAGCACATGAGGAATCTCAAGGCCCACCTGGTCTATGTAGTGAGTTCTAGGCAAGCCAGGGTTACACAGCGAGACACTGTCTCTAGAAAGAAGGTAAGTGCTTTCTTGGGCAGCACATACACAAAAATTAGAAAGATACAGAGAGGTGTATGGCCCCAAGTAACATTGGCGTGGGAATTCATGATGTCTTCAATATTCATACGAGGAAACCTACAAACTGCAACTATTTAAAGGTGTTTAGGACAAGGAGTGATTGTTGCAAAATTTAACATTTTGTTAACAAGTTTTCTGTAGAAACTTTTTTGTTTTGTTTTTTGAGACATGGTTTCCCTACGTATTATAGCCCTGGCTGTCACTCTTTAGATCGGGCTGGTTTGGAACTCAAAGATCCAACTGATTTTGCCTCCAAAGTGCTGGGGTTAAAGGAGTGTGCTGCCTTCCCACAACTAATTTATTCTTAAATAGTCAAGAAAACATACAGAAAAAAATTTAGTAACACAGTATAGTTCTACCCTTTTAAAAAATATCATCTTTTCATGAAACAAACAGCTCCACTGGTTTTCATGTAATTAAATTATTTAAAGTCTTTTGCTACATGGTGATAGGCTCTCACTTGTATTATTGGCTGGCCTAGAATTCACTCTGTATATCAGCATGACCTGGAACTCATGTTCAAGAGATCCATGTGCCTCTCACCTGAGTGCTTGGATTAAAGGTATGTATCACCATGTCTGGCTAAAATCATTTTTTAAAAGATGTATTTTATTTTAAATTATGTATGTAGGGGGTGAGTATAGCTAACCTCAGAAAACCTGGAGCTTTTCTTGGGCCTCCCTCTGCTTTCTTCAGGCCCAAGTGATAGAGCTTGGGGTCAACAACATGGGCACTGGGTTGGATTGTCTGGGAACAGCTAGTGCTGCCATATCTTGGCTTTAAAACCCAAGAACCACTTCCTACACCACTCTAGGAAGCCAGGTGGGTTTATCTGGTTCCTCCAGTGAAACCTGAAGATTGAGGGTTTTATGCCGATGTCCTAGCTCTAGAAATGGTGCAACATGCCTTATATAAAGGCTACTAAAGGGAATAGCTGTCTGCATTTTGGAGTGATCTTTTGAGGGGGTTAATGGCGAATCAATCCCACACCAGTTAGGTTTTAAAGGGGTATTTATTTTTGGGGGGTAAAACTTACATACACACAAACCGTCAGGAAAGGAGCCTAGTCACTGGAGCAGGAGCCAGAACCAAGAGGTCCAGCTGAGACTTGCCGCTCTTTTTAAAAGAGAAATATACCACACCCCAGTGGGCTGGTATTTCAGCGGCTATTGGCTGAAGGAGCGGAAGGTGCTCACGCAGCACT